ATTAATGGCGGTCCCATTATATGAGTTGTCTTAAGTGCTGAATGAATAGTGTGTATGTTATTTAAATTTACAATATAGTATTGTTTTAAAGTAAAAGAATTCCACTAATTCTATATCTGCAAAATTGTCATAAATAATATGACAGAATAGGTATATTGAGTATAATTATATCATTTTTAGTTATATTAGCGAGCGGTGTTCTACATATCTCCACAAATAATAAAAAAACTTAAGATAAAGAAAATCTTCTTTTAAAAATAATCGTGTCTAAGATAATATTTGTCCTCCGCCTTTTGTAAAAATGGCGCTGACCCCCACATAAGTATAATAAGTTATTTGACATTCACCTAACTACCTGACAGTGCTGACCGCCCCAACAGTATAATAAGTTATTTGACATTCACCTTACTAACTGACAGTGCTGACCATTCCATCAGTAGAGTAAGTTATTTGACATTCACCTAACTACCTGACGGTACTGACCATTCCATCAGTAGAATTAGTCATTTGACATTCACCTAACTACCTGACAGTGCTGACGGTTCCATCAGTAGAATTAGTTATTTGACATTCAACTTACTAACTGACAGGGATTAACGTTCCACCAGTAGAGTAAGTTATTTGACATTCACCTAACTACACGACAGTGCTGACCATTCCATAAGTATGATAAGTTATTTGACATTCACCAAACTGCCCGACAATTCTGACCATTCCATCAATACAGTAAGTTATTTGACATTTACCTAACTACCTGACAGTGCTGACCATTCCATCAGTAGAATATATTATTTGACAATCACCTAACAACCCGACAGTGCTGACCATTCCATCTGTAGAATTAGTTATTTGACTTTCACCTAACTGCCTGACAGCACTGACCGCCCCATCAGTAGATTAAGTTATTTGACATTCAGCTAACTCCGTGACAGTGCTGACTGTCCATCAGTAGAATTAGTTATTTGACATTCAACTTACTAACTGACAGGGATTACCGTTCCATCAGTAGAGTAAGTTATTTGACATTCAGCTAACTACCTGACAGTGCTGACTGTCCATCAGAAGAATTAGTTATTTGACATTCAACTTACTAACTGGTAGGGATTACCGTTCCATCAGTAGAGTAAGTTATTTGACATTCAGCTAACTACCTGACAGTGCTGACTGTCCATCAGTAGAATTAGTTATTTGACATTCAACTTACTAACTGGTAGGGATTACCGTTCCATCAGTAGAGTAAGTTATTTGACATTCAACTAACTATCTGACAGTGCTGACCATTCCATCAGAAGGATTAGTAATTTGACATTCACCTTACTAACTGACAGGGATTACCGTTCCATCAGTAGAGAAAGTTATTTGACATTCAACTAACTACCTGACAGTGCTGACCATTCCATCAGTATGATAATTTATTTGACATTCAAATAACTACCCGACAGTGTCGACCGTTCCATAAGTAGTATCAATTATTTGACATTCACCTTACTAACTGAGAGTGCTGACCATCCCATCAGTAGAATAACTTATTTGACATTCACCTATCTACCTGTCAGCGCTGACTAGCTATTTTATTTGACCTTCACCAAACAGCATGACCTATAATGACAAATCAGAAGACCCTAATCGTAAATGAAAGACTTAAATGGCAATTTTTCAGAACATTTAACTGATTTTATAGGCCCCAAGAAGAACAAAAGATAAAGATTTGTTCACATTATAGAAAATGACCCGGCTGTCACTATCAACTTTTATATTGACACAAGGTTATAGTGCACGTACTTTTAACAAGGCAGATCTCAATATTCAATTGTCTATAGAATAGAGAAAAACAGAATCCCTCAAGAAAGCCCAACACGTTAATATTGAAAAAAAATCACCATGAATGATATTTCTTATTGAATCTTTGCCTTTAAAATTCAGATGTTTTGACTGCAGTAACGTGTAAAATTCAGAACTTTCTTGTGTTTAAAAAAAAATCTGGTTAAATGCCATTTTCTGATTGATTATGTGCATTGAAGTCGCCCGTGCTGATATAGTAATGGACGCTCCGCTAGTGTCCAGTAATATCTTGCATTTTTGAAATAACGAGACAAATTCAAATTCTAATCAGCAGGATATAGGTAAATGGTGAAATATTTCTGTAATAAATAGTGAAGTACATAATATTTTAAATTCTCAGCGGTTAGGTCATTCTGGCATTGGGCGTAAAGAGAAAGCGTTAGGAAGACATCGTAGAAGTAAAACTCTACCAATGTTAAAATATTCATAATTCAGAAAAAAAGCTCAAATTTGAAAACCATTATACGTTCTACAATATCAAGATACAAAATGTATGAAACAATCGTGTGTAAATGTGAATAGGCTGTAAAGAAAATGCTAAATAAGATCTAAGTACTTTATATTTTACAGCATTCTGAACATGGAATATGATTCGTATGTTTTAAATGACAATATTATGATGACTTTTCCCCCAACTTAGCACTGCCGCCCATGAACAGAATCAATCAAAGCGAGTCTGCAACATGGTCAGTCTTGCCGTTTTGGGCGTTCTTTAGGAATTACGTTTTTTACTACAGACGTTAAAAACCGTGTAGTTTCAGCTTCAAGGTCACATTTCGATACGTCAAATTGGATCTTTCGTTCAGAGACGTGTTGTGGCCAAGTATGAAGACTTTAGCTTATGGAAAAAAGATGTTGATGATATAGACAGTACCCGTATCTTGTTGATGAAGAGGCGTTACTGTCCACGAAGTTAATTCAATTTCATTTACTGAAATATCATCCTACTTGTATTTTACTGAACTTAATGACTAGATATAATTATATCACTACAAAACAGAAAATAAAACATATGGGATTGGTTTGGACTAAAGTTGCAAAAGGGTTGCACATCGTTAAATGTCACTAAATGCGCATTAAAGATAAGAAATCTGAAAGCAAAAGGAGCGTTGAAGTGTAGGTCAGAAAAACCGTATATTCACCTTTCGTATTTGTTTATCTGAAATTGTTAAAATAAAATACAGACCAGCTATGTTAGTATGTAATATAAAATATATATAAGCATTTGATATGCGTGTAAGATGATCCTTGCTTTCAAGTAAAGATGATCCTATAAGTGTCCCGACCTGCTTTTACAGCGAGGCTAGATATCCTTGGTTGGCTTATATCTAAAGCGTTAACACTATAAATATTGCAGATGACTATGGTTAGATCCAAATTCGTTCAGGACAAAACTATGCATGGGAGCAATATTCCTTTAGTAACATGCAAACTTCAGAATGTATGAATTACATTGTTTCCTTGAAATAGAACTTATTTAAAAGGCTACGCCAACGGTTAAAATGGTACTTGCGAGGACAGCACTCTTTCGTAGCGCAATATGGACATATAATATTATATTGATGTGAGTAGTCTCCTGTGTAGATAGATGGATATTATCTCTGGATGATATCAAATTAGAAGAAGAATGTGTGGATGAAGAGTTTTTCTAGCTTGACATGAAACATAATATTTGAAATGTCTGCACAAAATATACATTCATTGAACAACAAAACACTCTATTTAATAAACATTTTTAAGCAAATAAACTTCAACCAAAGAGCTAGAACATTGCGTTTTTTTTATTTATTTATTTTGAGGAAATAACCATAAAACGCTTGTGCTTTGAAAGTATATACTGGCTTCACGTGTGTTACATCGAACAAACATGTGTGATTTCACGAACATTAAAACCTTAAAATGCATGTATGTCACATGAAATAAATGGGTTGGAAGAAGTCTGGAAAAAATAAAATAAAAATGTTTTGTTATTAGACCTTGCATGACCGTATAAATTTACCATTCATTTTCTTTTGACGCCAACCTTAATTTGTATTAACGAAGCTTGTACTTTTTCAAAACTAATGATTTTTTGTTTTAATGTACAGTTCATTGTCACCTACAATACTGCATGTATACATCTATAAAGTCGCTTTATACATATTACTTTATTATGTATTTATAGGTAGGATGGTCCCCTATGGTACCACTGTACTTATTATTTCCAGTAAATTGTACAAATAAAAATATCTTATATTTACTATTTTATTGAATTGTGTTTAGCCCTCGCATCTTGACTTTAAAATACACATGTCTATCATAGAATAACTCAATGATTTTAATTAGAAACATCTATGGTCGGTCAGCCATGTTTAGAATGGGAGCTTATACGGAGAGCACTATGGTACCGTGGTATGTTAATTGATGGCCCTTTTTGGCTTCAGTATAATTGTTTGTAACAGAATATGCTGTCATTACAGTTTCAGCAGACAACTTTCATCTGTTGGAACATGAAATTATAAGTTTAACCGTTAAATATGGGGTAAAATAAAGAAGTTTTTTCAGCACACACAGGCAGCTTTCGATTTTCCTATCAATGACAGAATTTATTTGAAATGAAAAAAAAATTCTAACAATTTTTATCCAAATTCACAAAAGCAGCACTTCCACTTTCACTTTAATGGTGGAAACAGTATTTGGTGACATTCAATCGTCAATCAATGTGTAAAGAAACAAATTTTCTGATTACATCGGAATGGGCAAGGACGCGGTACCAGCGGGGAGTACTATATGCATAACTTCAGTACAAACATCACAAAACCACGCCATTATTTAGATATACTTTTCAGTGATGATATTTTGATCATCTTTGTACCATTTATATGTATGTATAAAAATTGTATACATTTTCATATTATACATAATAACATCAGTGCAATTGTGTTTGAAATACATGCAACATCTTCAGATCACAGATTCTACTACAGGTCATGCTCGTTCATTTTTTTCTGATCATGCTTTTTGCAAAGTCAGCATTTTTTTATCATAAATGAGAGCACCATTTATAAGTTTATAAGTTCACGAACTGATTTTCACATTATTATTTTTGACAATATGACAACACGAAGCCTTATCCTTGTGTAAGAATGTCATCTTTTAGAACGGTAACTACGGTCTGTGGCACCATATATAAGAGCATGCACATTGCAAACTAGGCATTTCGAATTTCGACGTCAAGGAATATGAGGCTACATCCAGTGGCCATCCTTGCGGTTCTTGCCGCTTTGGCAAGGGCAAACGTGTCAGGTAGGAGGTTTATACTCTAAACCCACTTCTCAAATGATATCATGTTTTATTTCAAGGGTCATACATTGTTTTGATCAGCTTTTTTTGTGTGAACATTGTATTTCCACACTTAAAATATAACTTCGAAAAAAATACAAACTAAACCTTTGACAATATATAACTCATTCATTACAGAACCGAGTTTTGGATTTGTTGAGTAGATTGTAAAGCATAACGAATTCTTTTTATAATAGAGAAGCGTTAAAGGAATTAAAACATAGTACATTGATTAAAGTTTTAGAAACAATAATGAAGTATTAATTTAAAGAGAATAATGAAATAAATTCAGGTGTTCACGCGGAATATAACCATCCGAAGACAACAACTTTGATATTGTATACGAAGGAAATACTGTTGACATTATTTGACATTGAATGTTTATGAAAGACTTTGAATCCTCTGCTGCTCTGACTTTCTTTAAAGACTTAATTAAATTGTTACAATGTACTCTTTTTATAGGAACAGTGTTCAGTCTCTTGAGATAATATTCTCTAATTATTACAACTATATAGATTATTATTATTATTATTATATATCTTATTTATTCATTTTTGAAACTCTCCGAAGCGATTTGTGTGATTTGTTTTCAATCAAGGATATGTTATGTAATGTAATCCGGAGTGGGTGATAAGCAGACGTAATATTTACATGTCGTTATCTGACGCCGTCTGTCATGAAATTGACCTGACCTTACATGACTTCGTCTGGCTAGTACCAGATTTAGACTATTTTTGATAATGAAAGTTATTAGGTCAAAAAGAATGTTTGATAAAAATTGGGAGGTAATGTTAGTTCGCTTTTGCTCGTGTGGCAATGCACATTTCTTAACAATTAGAATGGCCAACATGAAATGTTCAAACAATGCGGTTTCCTTCTGTTTAATACTTATTGACCCTGAACAAGGTATAACTCAAAGAACCGCTACTTTGTAGAATAAGCAGACGATCTCGAGACTTATCAAAGATCAAGGTTTCGAAATGTTATTTTCAATTTTGGATAGTCAAATCATAAAAGAGGCGACGAAAAAGATATACTATTTGTCATATAATTTGATGACAGTAAATGCCAGAAAGAGACACGAGATCGCTAAATTACCAAAGACTAAAACTTGGTGCTAAAACATTTAAATATGTCCCTGGATATGTATAATTTCAACAAGAAACATCAACAAAACATACAGTTTTTAATGTAGAAATTTAGAAGACATTGGTAAACCTTTGCAAAACCATGACCAGAATAAATTGTAATCGAATTTATATATTAAAAACAGTAGGCCTAGTTACGTCCCTTGTTTTCAACTACGCCATTTACAGGTGTTAACTGGTTTTAATTTGTCTACATTTCAGATAAACGACAAACAGTCAGTAAGTAATAGATAATTTCTAGTTCCTTATTTTTTAGATATTCTTTTTATATTTTGTTAAATATTTGGACGATGTTTACTACTTTGACTTTTGACAGCTCAATTAATAATTGTTGTATTCATGTAAAAATCGTACCCTCAGTCTAAAATCCATTAATATAATTATTTAGTATATACTAAATATACAGAATATATATTATATTTTCATATAAAGGTAAATTAATAGTATGTGTAGTGACTGTGTTTAAACTGTTAAAATATCTCAGCTATTTAAACTTGGATGATTAAGATAATAATATTTGTAAATTATATAAAGTAGATTAGTTGATTACACAATTTGATGATTAATATATTAATCATTATTTCTTACATATTACAGGTGCACCATGTATTCCCCAAGATATAGTGTATATGATAGATTCATCAAGCTACATTGGTTACGAACATTTTAAACAACAACTTGACTTTATAAAAAACAACATTAGATACTATAATCTTAATCCACAATGTACCCGTATAGGCATTGTAACTTACAGTTCTGGTGCATATAATCAGTTCTATCTGAACCATTATACCACCCAGACCCAGCTGTTCAATGCCATAGATGGTATCCAATACCATTCCGGAGGTTCAAATACTGCCGACGCCTTAAACTTTGTTTCAAGTCAGGCGTTTACCACCGCCAACGGTGGAAGGACAGGTGTTCCACACTATGGAATACTTGTAACTGGCAGTTCATCAACAAACTCTGCACAAACTGTGGCAGCAGCTAAGATTGCCCAGCAGTCTGGCTTAAATTTATTTGCTGTCGGTGTAGGAAATGGCTACAACTCAGCTGAGATGAGAGGAATTGCAAGTGGCTCCAAAAACTTTTTTACATCACAGAGCTATAATGCCTTAAACTCAGTAGCAGAACCTCTAGCAACTAGAATAAATGGAGGTTTGTGATTCTTGTGTAACCGAAAAATAGTGAACACACAACTTGTTTTGTAATGCTATCAAAACAATATGCATGCTCAGAGAAAAACTTAAGTAAATCAAGCAATCAAAGTTTAATTAAAAGTACTGAATTATCATATTATAGTTATAATTCTGAAGATAATTTATGCATTCTGTTGTCTCAAATTTTACAAATCTAGAAGTAAAAAAACCTAAATTTATCTTAAAGTTGTGATAATCATAATTATACTCTTATTTTTTTTAGCTGTCTCACCAACAACAACACAAGCATTGGGTACACCAAATTGTAAGTTAAAAATGTCATTTTTAGAGAAATTTTCCGTCCTTAAAACTTTTCTGATACATATACAAGAAGAGATATTTACTGTCTGATTGTAACTAATGTTAATGTGAACAGAGATCATTAAGCTTAATCAAAATATAATCTTGATTTGCCTAATTATAAAGATAAGTCTTTATCTAAAATATCAAGAATCAAATCTGCCTTGCAAACCCTTTTTGAATAACATCACATCTTGTTTGTCTAAAGGTAAGACACATGTTTGTATTCTGTAATGATTTTGTTGAAATAACTGAGGCTGATTTTACAGAGGGAAGAAATCTGACTTAAGCGTCGTTACACAATTTGTAATAAGTATTACTAAGTTTGTTATAATATAAGCAAACTAATAGCTTGGCTGATATATTTTTATTTTGTTATACTTTCAGCATGTTTACAGCAAGCTGACATTGCATTCCTTGTTGACGGATCAGGAAGTATTGGTTCTGCCAACTTCCTGAAGCTTGAGAACTTTGTCAAGGGAATTGTGAGCAAGCTAGATGTTGGCGCCAACAAAGTCCATGTTGGAATGGTACAATTCAGTAACTACCCCAAACAGGAATTCCCATTGAGCATGTATTCTTCTAGACAAGATGTTATGACAGGTCAATTTCTAAATATATGCACTTGATTATCTATTTTCTATTATATGACATAATAATGAAAATAATACTATGTATATATAAATGTGCTCAATATTTTTATGTCAGAATGAAGTTTCCTCGAATCCACTTGATGTCTTATCCAAGTGTAGTTCTGGCTTCCATAACTTTAAATGCTGCTGTTATGTAACAGGTCTAGAAATACTATAAAGCCTGTTCGCTGAAGTCTCTTTCGCTAATCCAAGTGATATATGCAATGTGATCTTTTATTATACAGCATTGTAAATAGCTTTTCGACTCTTTGTTATTAAACTCGTCTCTTATATTTTCTCTTTTATAGGTGATGAGATACTGTGTATTTTTTTTTTTTGTTAAGTTTGAATCCTTTAAATATACAATCCTCACTTGTCTTTATAAAAGGCATGCCTTACAATGTATTGCTTAATGACATTTTTTATTATTATATAAACAGGTATTGACCAGATACACTACATGGGTGGTGGAACTAACACTGCTGACGGTATCAAATACCTCAGAGAACAGGTGTTCTCCCAGAGTGGTGGTGCTAGGCCAAATGTTCCAAGGATTGCAGTGGTGATCACAGATGGCAGGAGTTCAAACCCCACACAAACTGCTGCCCAAGCTAACCTTGCTAGACAAAATAACATTGGTGAGTCTATCAATGAATAAAAATAAAATGTTGTGTTCTAAAGGATTTCTTTATTCTGTGCCATTGTTTATTACATAATGTGATCATTTTGCTATTTTATAAAGATTGTTTTAGATAATATGTTAAAGTGTAGAAGCAGTAAAACTTTATTTTTGTTGCAATCTTAGTATGGAAGTTATAAATACATGTATACAGTGTAATTTTTTTTTAATACAACAAAATAAAATAACAGTTCTGAGATTGACTTTTTTACTGCTTAAAAACCTGAAAAAGCATTTTTTAAGCAAAGTTTTATGATGAAGCCATCATGTTTTATACTTGTGCAATTCTGTATGTTAAAAGGTATGATTGCCGTTGGTGTCGGAAATGGAGTGGACATAAATGAGCTTCATCAAATTGCTGATGATCCTGATGCAGCCAATACATTTACTGTTTCAAACTACGACCAGCTGAGCAACATTGCTGCCCAAATTATCACCCGTGCATGTCATGGTACACATTTTTTAGTTGTTCATTACGCTTATTAATCTTACCTATTTGAGCAATACTGAATGTTTCACTTTCATGTTGATATAACTTAAAGTGATTTCTTAATTTGACATAAGTATGTGTAGAACAAATATTACTGCCTCAAAATTTGGCATCTTAAAAAAGTCATGAAAACTTCATTATCAAAGATGATTTATAGTCTGTGCTTTGCCTTATGCCATGTCCTATTTTTATTTGGGTCCTGCTGGACTCCTTGCTGGTGGTTCTGTGTTGCTGGGTCGTGGAATTGCATTCATTGAACGCAGCCCTTCCTTGTTGATCTTTTTTTTCCATATCTTAAAATTACTTGTAGTATCAAAGAGATCTAAACTAGATCCAACACAGTTTGAAATTTTCTTCTGTTTTATATGTTATTTTTGATATCCCATGCATATTAATAAGTTGTTTATATTGTTTGATTGCAGTAACATCAACAGCAGCTCCTCCAACACAAGGTAATATTTGTATTGTCATATTGTACTGTTATAGTGTACAGTCATATTGTACTGTAATATTGTACTGTCATGTTGTATACTGTAATATTGTACTGTCATATTACATATATGATAAAATATATACTGCCTAAAATTTGAAGAAGACTGCCACACTCTCTTTATGAAATGAAGTTTACCAATAGATTATAACGTCTATTTATGGAAATTTCTATAGGTCATGTTGGTTATTGATTTTACATGTGAAGAAGAATAGTAAAGTGAAAACAATTATGACAAAATGTTAAGTTATTTTGAATTTTATCAATACACTTAACATTTACACTTGGATGGGCATAATTTCACTTTAAGTTTTATGACTTAAATTTTCAAATTCTCTCAAAAGATATGGTTTCACACAAAAAGTATTAGTTAAGAAAAAATTGACTTTTATTTTAGCACCAGCTGTATTGAACCCCAAACCTGAAACATGTTTGGACAAGATTACAAATTGTGACACTTATCCTAAATCTGTTTGCTCCGGAGACTATTTTGGCTGGTCGAGAGACAATTGTCCGAGATATTGCGGATTCTGTACTCGTAAGTGACTCTTGGCTACTAGAATTAAGGTGGTGATAAGGGTATTATCTTAGATTTTTTTTTCTGATTATGTAGGAAAAAATGAATGCACTTATATAACAGAATGGTCAATGGTTCAAGTCTTGCATGTGCATCATACATTGTTACAGATTTGTTATTACATGGAAAGTTAGTGACTAGATGAAACCGAAAATTTATTGATAGATTGTTGTTTTCCTTCAATTTTTGTGTTAGTTTTAGTGTGCTCTTTATACAAAAACCATTATTTCTTCCTGTTTTTTTTAGAAATACAGCAATTTACAATTATAATAAGGGTTTAAACTTCCTATTTTTTTTTTTTTTCGTATAAGAATTTTCTCCAAAAATATTGATTTCAAGTTTTTACAAATTTGATGATGGTTTAGTCGATGATATGAAAACTGTTTCATTTGTTAAACAAAGATTTGAAATTATTGAACATTTCATTTTTAGCTGTATACACAACTGCCCCACCAGCTTGTGAAGATAAGTTGAGTAACTGCAACCAATATCCAAGCTCCTCTTGTGTCGGAAAATTCTTAGACTGGGCTCATGACAACTGCCGAAAATATTGTGGATATTGTGGTACATAAATCTCTGATGTACAGAAATATGATAATAAAAATATTCAAATATTTGATTACTTAAATAAGCATGGAGGTACAGTGTGGAAATATTAATCTCTATTTAAGGAAGAAATAAAATGTAAACTGCCTGAAAGACTGTTGATGATACTGTGTTAAGATAGTCATAATGTTATTAAAATGCTTTAAGAATAACCGTAAGATATATTTTCTTTTCCTGTGACTTTTCTGTGTATAATTTTCCACTCTTGACTTTCTTTCTTTCATATATATATATGAAGTACTAGTTTGAGTACTTATTACATGACTTATTTAATTATTTTAGACACTAACTTGTTAAAAGTTGAGCTGTTTTACTTATACTTCCTATATAAACTTTCTTTTCTTCTTCATTCCAGATTCCACATCCCAGTCTCTAGGATTCTGTAAGTCTTAAAATTCTTAAATGAATTGAATTGTTATCATAATTATCAACAATTAAATATAATAATTATCTAAAGATTGCTGACCGCGTGGGTTCAAACCCTGTCAGGGGCAAGCCGTTGTTTCCTTGAGCAAGAAACTTTACATTCATTAATTAGTACTGGTTGGTTCCAGGAACGGATTGGAGAGCATTTCAATAAGCTTATAGCTTCCAACACAATGGAAATTAAAATAAATTTGTATAAACTAACAATTAAAAAAAAAATCCCAAAATGATTATTGTATTATAACATTTCTTGGGTTGATCACAACCTCTTTATTTCATAAAGTTATTGCAGTTTTGTGGTCAACCTACAAGTTCTAGTTTATTCTAGTTTACTCACTCAATGGAGAAATGTTTACAATATAAGGAAACTTTTAGCTAGATTACAACAGTTTTGTGTATCTAGATGCCTACAAATGCCTGAAGTAGGATTTCACAAACTTTTCCTCCTAAACCAAAAAAAAATGCTACTTTGTCAACATTGGTCCTTGATATTTTCATTGTCAGTAAGAACATTCATGCTAATGTCTGCCTTTACAAGCAGGTAGATAACCAGTGTTAGAGATATGTACTTGAGTAACCTACACCTCTGAATTGTGTCTTTGATTTCTAGGGTTATTTATCTCTGATTTAAGGCAATTCCATTTTATCTGACTTGTAATATTTATTATCATAGATATGATTTTATCTGCTCAGCATATGACTTATGATTTATGACAGCTGTATAAAGTATAAAAAATACTGTATAAAGTATAAGAATTACTGCATATAGTATAAAAATTACTGTATAAAGTATAAAAATTACTGTATAAAGTATAAAAAAATACTGTATAAAGTATAAGAATTACTGTATAAAGTATAAAAATTACTGTATAAAGTATAAAAATTACTGTATAAAGAATAAGAATTACTGTATAAAGTATAAAAGTTACTGTATAAAGTATAAGAATTACTGTATAAAGTATAAGAATTACTGTATAAAGTATAAAAATTACTGTATAAAGTATAAAAATTACTGTATAAAGTATAAAAGTTACTGTATAAAGTGTAAGAATTACTGTATAAAGTATAAGAATTACTGTATAAAGTATAAGAATTATCTGTTTATCAGATGGCCAATGTTACTACAAGGGACAGACATATAAACAAGGTGAGAGTTGGGAAGATGGGTGTGACTACCAATGTACATGTCTCGAGGGACAGACTGGAAAATACCAGTGTTACAACAAGTAAGTGTTGTCTTACGATGACTTTAGTAATTTGTTTTTTATACATGTAGTAAACATATTTACTTTGAAAAAGCAGGTTAAGGAAACAGAAACAATGTTGTTATCAAAGTCATAATCAAATTGCCACTTCAAATTATTGGCTATCCCATTATTCTTGCTTTCCTTCAACTGACTTGAATAGTGCCAATTATATTACCAACGGAATCTAATCCATCTTCCCAGTTTGTATTAGCTTTAATCAGTTTTTAAAAGGTTGCTATGATTTCTCAGCCTTGTTTAAGGTAGCATTGATAATGCTTAATTGTCACAGTTTTAGACTTTATTTTGCTCATTTGATACCTATGGCTTATGACAACATACGTCAAAGCCAAGTTAATGTTACATTTAAAATCATACAATTTATACCAGCACTTTCTTGTTTAAAAGATGCTACAAACTAATTTTCAATGATACTAAAATAAATTTATCTTAATTACACTAATCACTTTACAACTGGATAAAACAGTAAATTATCATTGTTAATTGTATGAAACAGGTGCCCAGTCTATTACAACTTGCCTTCCCAGTGTACACTTGTGAAGAGTGAATCAACGTGCTGCCTGCAACCAGTCTGTGACTTCAACCCCAAAATCTCCTCATTTGAGACAATCAGCCCAGGAAAAACAACTGATGGCATTGGTATGAATTTCTTTATTTGTCATGTCCATCTGTTAAACTCATTAGAGAGCATAGAATATGTTATCCAGGGATTGCTGCATAGAATATGTTATCCAGGGATTGCTGCATAGAATATGTTATCCAGGGATTGCTAGGTGTGGCAAAATTTCTTTGTGACAGTTGATCATGCACATAGAGTCTAATGTTGCATTTTTTCTCTCTTGCTGTTGGTTCAGAAATCATGTGTGATAAGTAGTCAGTCACTTGTGGAGAAATTAGTAATATTTTGTTAGTTATATTGTAAAGCCAATTAGTTGGATTGATTGCAGAGATATCATTAACTATGTCATGAAAACAAAAACATTAAATTTGTCATCTTTTTTACCAATGAATATTTCTAGATGCTCTGCTGATATTTTATGCTTTGTCTTGTTTCTACAAGATAATAGATTTATTGGGATCATATATTTTTATACAGTCATACAAAAATATCATTTTTTTTCAGTAAATAGTGAATCAGATTTTACAATTCAATCATTTTATTTTATATTTACATTGTATGTGTTTTTATTATACACAGTGATATACATGTAGGTGTGTAAATTTGTGTAAGAGTTGCGATTTAAGCATGCATTTTATACTCTTTTTTTTTCAGATATTTGCTTATTCCAAGGTCATCAATATTATGAAGGTCAAACTTGGGAAGATGGCTGCAAGTACACATGTACATGTACCAATGGTAGAACAGGAACATACAAATGTCAAACTCTGTAAGTACATCTATACTAAAAATAGTCTGCTAAATATATAAAAACTACAATCAGTCTCTTTGGGAATTATTAGCCAACAATTAATGATCAATGTCAGATGAAAAACAGTTGCTAAACATCAGTGTTTATGTACATGATAAATATTCTAAATTTGAAATAAAACTGGTACTATCAATTTAAGTATCTTTTGTTTTGTTTTAAAATATTGAAATTATAATCTCAAAGGTTTTCTGTATTTTCTTTTGGAATTGGCAAAAAGTGAAAATTGTTTTGAATTTTTAATTCTGATTGTTATTTTATTGCCTGACTTGTTTGTTTGTTTAAAAAAATAAGTGTAAGCCAACCATACATTTAATATATCCAATTAGTTAGTATGACAGTGCTATCATACAATATGTATACATTTATACATTTACCTTATGTACCCTAATTGTTTTTATCATCATTTTATATCTATACATTCACCATAAAATGAGGATTTATTTGTCTCGTAATACAGGTCCATGTTATCATTTTATATCTATACATTTGTTCTGTAACCAGGGTACATGATATCATTTTATATCTATACATTTGTTCTGTAACCAGGGTACATGATATCATTTTATATCTATACATTTGTTCTGTAACCAGTGTACATGATATCATTTTATATCTATACATTTGTTCTGTAACCAGGGTTCATGTTATCATTTTATATCTATACATTAGTTCTGTAACCAGGGTACATGATATCATTTTTAGCTCGACTATTCGAAGAATATGAGAGCTATTGTAGTCGCCCCGGCGGCGGCGTCGGCGTCAGCGTCCGCGTCGGCATCTGCGTTGGTTAAAGTTTTTTGTAAAGTCAAATATCTCAATTATTACTCGAGATTATCAATTGAAACTTACAATACTTATTTATAGTAACAAGGTACATCAGATAGACAAGTTGGATAACTCTGCCTACAATATTGACAGAATTATGCCCCTTTTCAACTTAGAAATTTTGGTTAAAGTTTTTTGTAAAGTCAAATATCTCAATTATTGCTTGAGATATTCAATTGAAACTTACAATACTTATTTATAGTAACAAGGTACATCAGATTGACAAGTTGGATAACTCTGCCTACAATATTGACAGAATTATGCCCCTTTTTAACTTAGAAATTTTGGTTAAAGTTTTTTGTAAAGTCAAATATCTCAATTATTGCTTGAAATATTCAATTCAAACTTACAATACTTATTTATAGTAACAAGGTACATCAGATTGACAAGTTGGATAACTCTGCCTACAATATTGACAGAATTATGCCCCTTTGGAACTTAGAAATTTTGGTTAAAGTTTTTTTGTAAAGTCAAATATCTCAATTATTGCTCGAGATATTCAATTGAAATTTAAAACACTCTTTTATAGTAACAATGTACATCAGTTTGCAAAATTGCATAACTCTGCCTGCAATATTTGCAGAATTGTTTGCCCCTTTGAAACTTAGAAATTTTGGTTAAAGGTTAAAGGTCTTCAAAGATATTTACTACTTTACACATGCACTTAGGGTCATAATTGGACGGTCATAATTGTATGTCACTGACCAAGTTCCATAACTCTATCTTGCATTAAGGCTGATTCATATCCCCTTTTCTACTTAGTCTCTTGGTAAATGTTTACATGCAAGTTTTACATATCTCAATAACTATTAAAGATATTTATTTAAAACTTCACATATGCATTTAGGGTCATAATTGTAGGTCACTGACAAAGATCCATAATTCTATCTTGTATTTAGACTGATTTTTCTCCCCCTTTTCAACTTAGAAATTCATGGTAAAGTTTTGCTTGTAAGCTGTTATCTCAATAACTACTGAAGGGTTTGTGCCTTTTTTAGGACAATTTTATGCATTCATAATAATAAAGCAGTGATTTACTTGATAAAACATCTTAATAACAAGCCTTTGTACCTTTTCTGTCAAATTTATGTATTCATAGGTAATTAGTATTATTATACTCAATAAAACACCCTTGTGACATTACCTTCTGAATAGTCAAGCCAATACTGTATAATTAGACTCTCTCTAAGGCCTATAACATGAATTTATAAAAAAAAATTAGCCCTTTTGTGAACTTAAAAAATTTAACATTATCAAGGCTCTTTTACTATCAAGCACTTAGAATAGTCGAGCATGCTGTCCTACAGACAGCTCTTGTATATCTATACATTAGTTCTGAAACCAGGGTTCATGTTATCATTTTATATTTATACATTTGTTCTGTAACTAGGGTTCATGTTATCATTTTATATTTATACATTTGTTCTGTAACCAGGGTTCATGTTATCATTTTATATTTATACATTTGTTCTGAAACCAGGGTTCATGTTATCATTTTATATTTATACATTTGTTCTGTAACCAGGGTTCATGTTATCATTTTATATCTATACATTTGTTCTGTAACCAGGGTTCATGTTATCATTTTATATTTATACAGCTGCCCAGATTACACTGCCATTCCAAGCTTCTGCCACCTTGAAACTAAACCCGGTGAATGCTGTGCCAAACCAGTATGTGAGTTCAAGACCCAACAGGGAAGTTTTACAGGCTCTGGAACAATCAGTGGACATGGTGTTGGTAAGGATTGTATAATATGAAATTTAAAAAAAAAACAACATTGTAGGTTTTTGGGGGTCATGTTTAACCATTAACTTGCTATATTTGTGTAATGAAGTTACTCTATGTTGAATTTGAAACAGTCCATTTGAATTTTAATACATTGTTTTAACAAAATACACAAAGCTGCCAACTGTATGGTGTCTGATCAGGTTGGCCTTGCACTTTGGTCAAGCTGCCCTGGCTCTATATTGGTGGCAAAGGTTAACCACTTTCAGTTATGACAGTTTAAGGCTTTATTTGTCTCAGATTACTTTTTACTCTTCATACCTTAAAAATGTAAAGTGTCTTATCAGTGAACATAGATTCATACAGTATTGTAAGAGAGAATTTTTGTTCAATGTCAGTGTAATAAGAAAGGAAATGTGATAACAAATTAAATATTTATTTGTAGTTTTTGACTGATATGTGATTTTACACAAAATAAACAAAGAATATAATGCTAAAGACAAAGTCAAATAAAGTAAGGTATTGAAAACTTTGCAACTTTCAAAATATTATCTGGGAGAGGACATTCATAAGCTTTATAGCTTTCTGCCCATTCCCAAAATGTACTTTGTAAATATTGCCCACTTGTTAAATGTTTTGTTGAATAGATATGTTTAAACCAAAATATTATCTTAAAAAGAATAAGAAAAATGATCTGAATATAAAAGAAATCAAAATAAAGGGAGGTAATAAAATCTTAAGGGAGATAATAAAATTGAAATAAAGATGATAACTTGTATATTTGTATGTTGTAGCTGTTTCCCCAACTGCACCACCAGCTTGTGTTGATACATTGAGTGACTGTGACAGATATGGTACCAATGCTTGCCTTAACTTTAAACCATGGGCCAGAGATAACTGTAGAAAAACCTGCAATCTATGTGGTATGTTTATATCTTACCTCAAATAATGCATGGAAGATCATCTTGTCACCTTAGTGCTGTAACGTAATAAGTAACTCTAAATTTTAAAGGAGTTAATCAGTTATTGCACTAAGGTGTCGATCTATGGTCACAATATGACCATAACAGTGTCTGTATAATGCATACAAAATTAGAAAAAAAAAGATAATTATTTGTTTTTTGAAGTTGACAGGTATTTTGAGTAGGAAACTTGAATTCGAGCCTTTCCTTCCCAGTGTACTCTTGAAAAGAGTGACTGACTTATTTTTACAACAGAATTTCTACAAAACATTATATAAATGTCATGTTTTTCTGTATTAATGTACCTGTTGTTTTTATACGAAAGCTAAATTTTTATAATTATTGATAATGTTGTTGTTCTTGTTTCTGTTGTTACTTTGTTTTCGCTATCCAAAAATGTACATTTAAAAGATAGAAGGACAGAATTTTTTACGAAATAGAAAAATTTGTATTTGTGTATATATTATGACTGATTTAAATATAACTTCAACTTCAACTTAATTTAATTTATTTTAATTTATTATATCTTAACCTTTTTTTGTATGAAAATGCAAATATGTAATTATATTGTTTGATTTCTTTTATTACAGTTAATAATGCTCCAAACCCAGAACCAACTGGTGAGTTTTGTGAATTTTTAGCATGTCATATTTTAAACAGTTATTGCCCTTTTTATATATGTTGAAGTTTTGTTGTTACAGCATATATAGTATATTATTTTGCCATAGTTTGATCTGTATCAGTCTGAAATTTTCGGAGTAACATATAGCCAATTCTGTCAGTTTAAAGAGAACTTTAGTCTTTCCTCCAGCTATTAGTTAGAGTTTGAATATTTTACTATATTTTTATTACTAGATGTGTGTATATATGATGGAAGGGCATTCCACCAGGGTGATACATGGAAAGTAGGTTGTGATACAACATGCACATGTGAGAATGCCGTATACGGATATTACAGATGTGTTAACTCGTAAGTTAGATAGTTTGTTCCGGAAACCAATAAGGGTTCGAGAATTCAATTTCACAACTCATTCTGTTTAAAGCTGCACTCCTCCAGATGAGCAAAAATATTTTGATAAAATCAATCCTGAGAAAAATGTACTAAGATTTTAGGAAAGGTATAAAGAATAAAAATTCTAGTGAAAAATTACATGTTGTGTTCGATTAAAGACTGAATTTTTCAGTAATTATAACTATATTTCTACTGCATTACTAACACAGTAAGGGCTATTTTTGCATATTTTGACCTCTTAATAGTAATTTGAATAGATTGTAAGTGCCATTTATAATGTGTAAATTACATTATTTTGGTAACTTTACAATATTATACTGTTAAATACATTTTCAAATTTTCATGAAAATTAGCATGAATCTGGAGGTGTGCTGCTTTAATGAATAATTTGCAATAGTGTAGCGAAAATAGTGGTTAACTGTTTAAATGTACATTTTATATAGCACTTTTTGTAAATCTGGCACATTTTATACTTTTTCTTGTTACCATATTATTTTGTGATCAAGGGTTCCTGCAAGTTGTTGAAAGTTAACATAATGGGTTGTAGTAATGTTTGAATAAAGATGAATTTAACTATTTCAGATGTCCAACATATAACAACCTCCCATCAACCTGTCAGACCGTCAAGAAGGCCGGAGACTGTTGTGCCACGGTACAATGTAGCACTGGAACATTTATCTCATCAACTGGAAACCTCGCTACTATCGGTGGCGGTGGATTGATTCAGACACCAGGATATGTGGCTCCCACTCTACCATCTGGTGGTACCCCAATGCCTGGAACTGGTGGCACCAGCTTTGTAGCTCCATCACTGAGTTAGTAAACACTATTGATAAATAACGGATTTTTTGCAAAGGGAAGTAACCTCTTTTTGCCATTAAAGGGAAGTAGAAATTGATCCCTTTCTTTAGAAAGATGTCATTACAAGGGGGATACATCAATTTATGTAATATCATTTCTTGAAGTATGGATTGCTATATAAAAATCTGGAAGAATTTGGTAATCCACGGGAAGCATTAATCGCAACAAAATTACATGAAAGTTGCAAACTCGGTTCCATTGAGTCTGTACATTAGGAAAGATAATAAACAAACAAAACATGTAGTAGTTATTTAATGCGAATGTTTCAGCTAGATACCTTCATCAACTAGATACCTTTATTAGTGCATAATATATAAATATGTATATAGAGAAATACTTATTGCCTTTGAATCATTTATGTCTTAATGTATAAATAGAGGGATGTAATAATCCAAGGTCACTTTATGTCTTAATGTATACATTAATGTATACTAAATATCTTTTAGACAGATGTAATAATCAAAGATCACTTAATGTGTTATGTATATTTTAGACAGATGTAATAATCAAAGATCACTTAATGTGTTATGTATATTTTAGACAGATGTAATAATCAAAGATCACTTAATGTGTTATGTATATTTTAGACAGATGTAATAATCAAAGATCACTTTATATGTTATGTATATTTTAGAGGGATGTCTATACAAAGGAGATGTTTACATTTCCGGCCAGACCTGGGAGGACGGATGTCAATATTCATGTACTTGTGAAAATGCTGAACAAGGCTTATACAGCTGTAGGCAAAAGTAGGCGGTTTTATAAATAAATATATTTTACACTTTATAAAAATAGTGCATAATGTTAAGCTGTTTTGATGGAAAATTCTGAACAGAATTGGTATATATTTTTTCAGGTAATTATCAGATTGTCCTGTGCAAGTAAATACATGTAGTTATTTTTTTCCAAAAGTATTTTTAAGTATTCAGTAACCAAGACAACTATACCTATGTAGAGAAAGAGATATTTAAATTATCATTTTTAGTTTATCATCATTATATTAGCATCTTTTAAAATCATTTCAGGTGCCCAGAATTCCCAACTCTTCCAGCTGAATGCCACCTTGAGGTTGACGCAAGTGACCCCTGCTGCCAAAGGCCAAAATGTACATTCACTGGTACCCCAACTCCAGTTATCCCAGTATACAAGCCAAGTACCACAGGCCATAATGTTGTAGCCCCACCCAAACCAGGAGAGCTGTTCCAGGGTACCCAGACTATTGTAGCCGTCATCACTCTGCCAGGAAACAACCCCAATCCACCCACTGCTGACCCAAGTGCACACCCAGGTGGAATTGGTAAGAATAAAATAAATATGTGTTTGGGTTTGTTTATCCTCGCCTCTTGAAAGAGACCATGTGGGCAAGCATATACTTCATTTATAACCTAAATATAGGGAATCTGATGTTTAATAAAATAAATAACTACTGAAATGGAAATATATGGTTGTGTTTGCATAGATTTGCCACTCAATCTTAACACCCACTTAATATTTTTTGTGATAGACACTGTGCCTGTTGTTCATTTAATGGTTTTAGAGTTTAATAATTCTAAATCAGTATAGAGTCTGGTTATTGTGGTCAGATTGTAACATTTTGTGTGTCTCTAACAGTGTAAAATTAGATTGTTATATATATATGTATACTATATACACAGTAACCTCTATGGTACTGAAAATGATGGACTTATTCAATTAACTCTCTAAACTTCGATTGACTGCTTTAATTAGTATTGGGCATCATACTAATGATCCATGAGTTAGGTTTAGACTTAGTGTCACAATATTGCAGACTCCTGATATATGAGCCGTGTCACGACAAAACCAACATAATGGGTTTGCGACCAGCATGGATCCAGACCAGCCTGCGCATCGGCGCTGTCTGATTAGGATCCATGCTGTTCGCTTACAAATCCTATTACAAGTAGAGAAACTGATAGCGAACAGCATGCATCCATGCTGGTCACAAACCCACTATGTTGGTTTTGTCATGACGCGGCTCATTTAAAGGTCTAGGACTGTACTTAAAGAATTTACAATAAAGGAAAATGAACCATATTTAAGTTTATATTGAAAATGTATATATAAAATGGATTTACAAAAAGAAGTGAAATCTAATTTATAAAACATATGTGTTATCAGATTTAGCAAGGTTTTAGAAGACTAAATTAATATATTTATGATCAGGTTACTGTGAGTATAAAGGACATACATACAAACAAGGTGTATCATGGGAAGATGGCTGCTCATACAACTGTGTGTGTGAAGATGCCTCAATTGGATTCTACAGATGTAGAGAAAAGTTAGATTTGTCATTATGAACCTTTGTAAACTATGTTAAAGAAATGCAAACGGTTATTTACTAGTGTATGAAATTTATTTCTTTATCGTTTGATTAAAATGTATGACCTTTCATTAACCTGTAATGTAAAATATGAATATTTCAGACCACTTTTTCAATTTGCTGATTGTATATTATTTAAATTAAAAGTTGCTTTAAATAAGAATAGAGTAGTGGCCAATGATTAAAACCATATATAAAAATCTCCAGGAAGACAATTTAGACATCTTTGTCGATTATTTAATATTCTCTAAAAATTAATCTTTTTCCAGGTGTCCCAAGTATCCACCTCTACCTGCTCAGTGCCAACTTGTCCAGGACCCTAACAACCGATGCTGCAAAGTCCCAAAATGCTCATTTACAGGTCAGGTGACCTCCATCAGTGGACATGGTCAAGCGACTACACCCAAACCAGTTCTAACCACATCTAGGCCATTTATTCCCCAGACACAAGCTCCAAGTAAGACCATTGTTTGTTTTTTCATTACTCTCAGTCTTTATTAACCAGATATTCCGGTAAATTTTGTATTGATAGAATTGACAGAATCAGACATTTAGAAAATTGGCTCAAGTCAAAAATTTAAAGAAGACAAAACAATTCTTATTTTCCAAGCACACACATTTATGTTTTTTTTAAAGGTTTCTTGAAATTAACATTAATAGGTACATTATTATCATTTTGTATAAGCAAATTTTGTAGGTTTATTTTTTCAGGCAACAGAATAAGTGTTATCATTTGTTTATTACAAAATGTCACCATCTGCCTGAGAATAAAATCAGGAATACTATAGAAATCATGGTCATATTAATAAATTTGTGGTATAAAGGAAAGACATTACATGTTTTATTTTGTTTTATATAAGAGTGTTGCATTTGCTAAGAGTGTTGCATTTGCTTATACATGTATGTGCATTAATAAAATGTGATGCCATGCATTATTTACAAGATAGTATGCTACTTGTTTATCAGTATAGTTGAATATAGTATGGTATATGTAAATGGTAATTTTTTCAGGTAGTATGGTGCATGTATATAGGATGGTTGTATATATATTGATATGGTCAATGTATGTTAAAAAATCTGTAAGAAATAATAAAAAACTCTATTTTTTCGAAAATGTTTTCTATGCTGGAGCATAAAAATTATCATCAGTCAAATACTTATTGATCAATGACATTGACATATATATGATATATAGACAAGGAGCAAAGAGTCTACAAATAAAGACTTTGTTATGTTTTGTTCTATGACATATATATTTATCAGATTAAAATGAGAATTTTTATATATGTACAGAGATGTGTGTATACAAGGGTAACCAGTATGGACAAGGTCAGGTCTGGTTTGACGGGTGCGACTATAAATGTTCTTGTGATGATGCCAACAGTGGATTCTTCAGATGTACAAGAAGGTTTGTTTAAATAGTCAAACCTGTCCGTAAATTTACACATCGTTAAGGTCTATGTATTTCTAACTACAAATACCTTGTTGATTTTGATGGTTTTTAAGTTACTTTTACAAATGTATTGTTTTATGAAAAGATCCTATCTGTAGTCCTAGAGACATTTTAATGGATATAAGCTGAATAGAGAGAATCTGCCTTCTTGTCACTCAGATTGGAAGTAGAAAGGAGAAAATTGTTCAAAAACAAATATATTAGTCATAGGTTATTTATAGCATTTCTTTATAGAATAAACAATTGTTAAGGACCAAACATACTACTTGTTGAAATACACATGTAATATATGTGATTTTTGTTTTATCCTTTAATATATTTTTATGAACATTTTTGACATTCTTATAACATATATGAACAGATGTCCAGAATTCTTCAATGTACCGAGTGGATGTGTATATGTACAGGATCCTAATGATCCTGCCTGTTGTAAGGTACCACAGTGTACTCCAACACCACCACCAGGTGCAACCCTGTCACCCAATGCCATTGCAACAATCCCACCAGGAACTTTCGTAGGCCAGCCCAATGCCACAGCAACCCGTGTTGGTATGTAAAAATATACAAGTTGCCTCATTTTCCAACTATTTATCTTGGAATGGCAAAATGTCTTCTTGCTTGACCAGTATTTGTTATGAGATAGTGGTGCTTGATTGATGGGTAATTACTAAATAGTTTTAATACTGAGTAAATGAATGTTTAATGCTGGGTCAATGTGAATCATGCTAGACCAAGGTGCTTCATACTTGGTCAGTGTTTGTCATGCTAGGCCAAGTTGGTTCATTATTGGCTAAGGTACATCATGCTAGGCCCATGTGTGTCATTCTTGGTCAATTTGTGTCATGCTAGGTTAATTTGTGTCCTGCTGAGTCAAATTGTGTCATCCTTGGCCAAGGGTGTGTCATTATTTTCCAAGATGTATCATGCTAGGCCAATTGTGCCTTGCAAGCCCATTGTGTGCCATGCTAGGCCAATACTTGCCATATAAACATTTTTAATTGTAGTAATGAACCAATATTTGCCACATACTATATAATCATACTTTGTCAATATTGTCTATTATATGTAAATATTTATTATTTAAGGCCAGTTTTTAACATTGGTTGAAGATATTATGTAACAGATGGTGTGATCATTTATTTCAGGATATTGTGAGTACAAAGGAATGCATTACAAACAGAATGAACAATGGATGGATGGTTGTGACTACTCATGCATCTGTGAAGATGAAAACACTGTAAATATTTTCCTTCTTCCTCCAGCATTTAATCCCTTTTTAAGTTGACTTTCTGCATGTCCATTGTTAATTTTATAGGTTTTGATATAGTAACACTATGTAATAACCTTTACTAGTATAATACTATTTGATGATACCACTAGAGGAATGTATAACCTTACAGAACTCATTTATGTTATTTCAATCACAATTATATCTTAATATATCTTTTGAACAGAAAAAGCTTTTTTTGTTTTTATGCAACTATAATGTATTTCATACAAATGTAAATTAAAGGTACAAGCATTTAGATCTTTTTCCTAAAAGTTTGAAATAAGTGAGTGGATAGACCTATTTAAAAAATAATGTGACTTTCACATCATAATCTGTTTTTAAAGGTTAATAAAGGAATGTTTTCTTGTCTTTTTAAGGGACGTTACAAGTGTGTTGATCGTTGCCCAAGCTTTGGTGCCCTTCCTCCACAATGTAGAATGGTTCCCGACTTCACAAATCCTTGCTGCCAGAAACCAGACTGCCAGTTCAATGGAAACTTTGGTGAAATTACTGGTACCCTTACACCAGCTCCACAACCAGGACATTCTGTAGCTCCTAATTTACAGCCAACAAATGCTCCAACACCATGTATGTTATATCTCAATATATACATGTATATCTGTATCATAGAAACACTTTGATTTTCTTAATGTTTCCATCCTTGAATGTCATTTTTTATTGTTTTTCATAAAGTATTTGACAAAGTACTGTATAAGTGGTTAAGTTAGTGATGTGAAAATATTGGTCATTACAGTATTGACGAAAATTACTAAAATTTCCTCTAGCGTTAATAACAACCAACCTGTCATGTAATTCTACACTTGCACGATTACGCTTATATTTTCTCAAGCGAAATGTCAGGAATTTTTAATTCCCTAACTTTTTGACACACGGAAATCTCCACTTACAAAGTATGTTATCTTGGACTTCCATGCTTTTCTGAAAATTAAAAAAAAAATTTTATTTAGACAATGGTAATTATGGTGATTTAAAAGTTTTATAGAAGTCACTATCAATAAAATTGATAAGTAATATAAAAAAGTGATGTTTGTGAACTCAATATTATTCACTGTAATTGATAAACAAAAACAGGGAGACTTACATGTAGCTATAAATAACATGTTTTTATGAAGTCAATGTTTGGATCTTGTCTTTACCATTAAAATTTTGCTTGATTGTGAAATAATTTGGATAGATTCTTTCAAAGCAGTATCAACAAGCAAAAGAGTGAAGGCATTACCAAGTAGTAAATATATATTATTATTATAGGTATTATCCTGATGAAGGTCATTATATGATCGAAACCGGTAGATAGATAAATTAACGTAAACCCACTCTGGTGTTCCTGACGTGTTGTTCTTCATCCCCTCCTTGATTACTTAAGTAGTAAATATGTCAGACTAGTAATCTAAGGATCGCTGGCTGCATTTGTTCAAACCCCATCATTGGCAAGCTGTTGTTTCTGTGAGCAAGAAACTGTACACTCATTGCTTAGTACTGGTTAGTTCCAGGAATGGATTGAAGAGTGTTTCAATAAGCTTATAGCTTCCAACACAATTAAACTAAAATAAATTCATATAAACTAGGATAACAAGCAAAAAGAATAATTATGTATACAGGTTCTTTATTTAAACTACTGTTGTTTTATTAGTTATCATACCAAAATGCTCCCTCTTTCTTGTAACAATGTACTATGTAATCTTTATTGTATTACAGCATATTGTGTATACAAGAATGCTAAATACAGTCAAGGACAGACATGGAATGACGGCTGTCAGTATAAATGTAGATGTGATGATGCTAGCCGAGGACTATATGTCTGTAATGATAGGTATTATACACTGACATACTTAACCTGTAACTTGCTTGATGCAAATAAGCTTTTGCCACCAGTATAGAGATAGGTCAATACACACTTTAATGCTGTCTGACTAAGCTATTTATGCAGATTTGCCAAATTATTTTGTAACAACCAACATTAGCCAAAATCATATTTCCTGTTCCGTTGCCATATAACCAAAATTGTGTTGGTGCCACAAACAAATTACGAAATCATAACTTACTGTTTTCTTAAGAAATTTGAAAACAACAATGTATAAGTGTCTGTTTATATAATTTGAATACATGTATTTCTTTGTTGTAGATGTCCACAGTACCCGAACATACCACCTCAATGCACCATGATAACAGATCCACGTGACTCATGCTGTAGAATGCCACAGTGTAACTTTACACCAACACAAGGACAGATCACTGGCACCTTGGCTCCTAATGTTATACCTACCAAAGTACCAAGTCAGATTACTGGCCAGGCTAACACACCAGCACCCACACCATTCCCAGATGGACACACACAAGCCCCTCAACCACTCAGTAAGTAGTTTTGATATTAGATATATACCCTTAAGACTTTTTAATAAAAAAACTGTAAATTAAATATATAAAGATATGTTATTCTATTACATACAGAGTCATTTATATCATATTGAACATGTTTTTAAAAATGTGAAAACTGAAAATTTTGGATGTAACTGCCAAAGTGACATTCTGACATTAATACATTATGTATTTAGTTTAATAATAAAAAGATAGATATGAAAAAAAAAACAACTACATTTTCTTTTGTAAAAATTAGTTTCTGACTGAATTAAACCCTAAAATGTTTATCTCGGCATTTCGTTATCTTGATATTTTTTTGATAGTCCGGTCAGTCCCAATGACTTTGAAATACAGAGAGTTGACTGTATAAATATACCAGTTTTTATAAAAAAATAAAGAACAATGCCAGCATTTTATGTATTTTCTGGTTAAGGAAATGACAGGTGATCTGACAATATAACAGTTAAGATTGTATATTTTACACCCAACTCTCTTCCTTTGAACCATGATTTTTCAGTGAGATACACATTTAGAAACCATGTTACTGATTTTTTGCTCTCCAGATTTCTGTATATACAAGGGACAACAGTACAGCCAAGGACAGACTTGGGATGATGGCTGTGACTACAAATGTAGATGTACTGATGCTACTCTAGGAAGATACGTTTGTGATGAGATGTAAGACCTTATTATCATGTGCCATCATCATTATGCTATCCATTGTGAGCATAGAGATGATTCATAATATAGGACATTGATTTAATTACCATATTTGACCATCATATACTTTCCAGTCATAATCATGATTCATATAGTAATTTTTTTTCTCATTTTTAATATGCAACCAACTTGAACTCAGCAACTTTTTTTCTTTTTCTAAGTTTTGATTGTTTGGGTTTCGTCTTTTAATTTCATCTGCATAACACTTGCCTTAAGTTATACTTGTAAGTTGATTTCCCTTCTGTAGCTGTTTTTGTAACCATGACCTAACCTTAAAGTGTGAAATGTTTCTTCTAGGTGTCCAAAATATGGAAGTATGCCAGCAGAATGCCACATGATAAAGGATGCAGCAAATCCATGCTGCTTCAAACCAGTGTGCAACTTTGTACCAACCAGTGGTCAGATCACAGGCCAGGGCAGCACACCAGTTCCAGTACCAGGGGTGTCCACAATAGCACCAGTACCAAATCCAAACCCATTCCCCAACCCGAACCCAACATTGGCTCCTCTACCAAAATGTAAGTCTCATGCATAATTCTTTATCCTATTTTATACATAATATGTAACTATGGATTAAATAGTGCTGGGTTATTTAATATAGATATTGTATAATTGTGAGGATACATTTTAGATTAATATATTCACTGAAACAATATTGTAAATTTACCTAAAACAATGATTGTATTATTTCTGTGTTTGCTATATAAGTTCTCTGTATATTTAATACATAATTATATATGTTAAACTTGTGGGTGTGTAATATATGTATCTATCTATGCACAATGTATTCTGTGTAATGTCTATGTATGCTATATGTATTCTATGTGTATTACAGCTGTTTGTGTGTACAGAACTGATCAATATACACAAGGACAGCAGTGGTATGATGGCTGTAATTTCAAGTGTACTTGTGAGGATGCCATGCAAGGAATCTACAGATGTGATAAGAGGTAAACATTGTGTTTTTATTGGGTCATACATGCATTGCCATAAAATGTCTGACTTTTCAGTTTAACCAATGACTCTTAGACTGTCCAATCCTACAGATAATAAATATTCTGTGATAGTTGGCATAATGGAGATAATGAACCATTTACCAGGTTTTGAAAGAATACTTCCATATTACATTATGACAATGACTATTATAAGATGGTTGGCATTAAAATATTATGTTTATTTTATAGTATAGAGAATGATTATCTATCTGTTTTGTTTCTAGATGTGCTGATTACACGAGTGTTCCAGCTGGCTGCACCTTGGTTGCTGACCCCGCTGATCCTCTCTGCTGCAAGGTACCATACTGCCCACCAGTAACCAACAGCACAAACCCGAACCCATACCCAACTCTACCAACAGGACACATCAGTGGAGGCAGTGTCACCAAGGCACCAACACCTGCCCCACAACCTCAGCCTGGTGTCTCTACACCAGCTCCACAACCAGGAGTCAACCCAACACCAGCACCACAACCACAACCTAAAGGTGAATAAGGAATTGATTGTTAATACTTTTAATTTATTCAACACAGGTCCAAAATCTTGTCCCCAGTTTCTACATCTAAATTTGATTTAGGGAGTGACAAAGTACATGTATAAAATATGCTACCTATTGATGGGTAGTATACTGAAAGTGGTATCAGCCGCATTAATATTTTAAAGTTTTGTTGTAACTATGTACACTGATTTAAGAAAACATATTCAGTATTATTTAGGTGTCTATAGTTAATGTGAAATGGTAAATTTATTAAACCTTTATACTATATATTACAGCTGCATGTATCTACAAGGGCAAACAGTACAGTCAAGGACAAAGATGGAGAGATGGATGTACTTACAACTGTGTATGCATGAATGCTATGACTGGTGTTTATGACTGTACTGAAATGTATGTACCCATATAACCTTGACACTTCCTACCTTATTTTACACATCTGGATAGTATTTTTGAAAAGGACTTAACGCATTCAGCTCTATACTTTAGGATATCCTATATAATTAGAGTTCAAGAGTTCCTCTCAAAATTACAATCAGTTATTCAATAAACAGACAAGCCACACAAACACGAACATTCAGTAATTATTTATTGCATGCATTTCGGCTATATGCCTTTATCAGTGCAAAACATAATAAAATTACCGGAAGTGACGTCATAACATCTGGGAAGTATTTTTGAAAAGGTTTTTTTTTTCTTTTTTTTTCAATCATTTATTCACTCACTTTATTTCATTACAACTTTTTCTTTGAACTGTCAATTTTCCTTGTGTCGCAGAAAAAGTCATCATATTAAGAATTTAGTCCTAATTGCCTCCCTTTAAAAGGTCCCTTAAGTCCTTAATTTATTTGTGATTATAAGATATAAGGTAAAAAGAATATTTTAATCTTAATAACATACATTGTTTCTTTCAGCTGTCCAAAATACCCACAACTTCCACCTCAGTGCCAGATGGTTCAGGATTACAACCAGCCTTGCTGTAAGAAACCTTACTGTAACTTCTCCGGTACAACCGGTGAGGTCACAGGTCAAGGTACAACATTGGCTCCAGTCCCTGGTGTCTCAACATTAGCACCTCAACCTGGAACCTTCAACACACCTGCTCCAACACCCAAAAGTAAGAATAAAACCTTAAATATTTCAGATGTTGAAGTTCTTAAAGAATATAACATTATCTAACATACTAGGTAATTTAGGCATGTCTTGATCTCAATAACTTGTGAATCAGTATCCACTGATTACATTTACATTTATATATCTATGCCAACATAAAAAGATAAAATACATTTTTTTGTGTGGATAAAGTAGAATCAGATACTAGTATACCAACATAGATAGAAAGAAATGATACAATCTAAAGTATCCCAGTAGAAAATCAGATTCCAGTAGACAGAACAAGTGTATACAGTATTTATTTTGTGGTATTGAAAATATTATTATAATAAAACTGTGTAAAATGCATTAAACTGTTATGAAATACTTTTATATGATTTTGTAAGGAACTTAATTATATAACTTTTGCAAATTTTGAATCAGTAGAATGAACGTTTATAACCTTATGTTACAGAACTGTGTAGCTACAATGGTGTATTGTTCAAGCAAGGAGACAGATGGGATGATGGCTGTGACCTTAAATGTGTGTGTGAAAATGAAATGACAGGATACTACAGATGTAATCAGAGGTAAGTTAAAGTGTATAAAGTGTGTCAGGAACCACCTGCAACCAAATCTGATCATTTGCCGTCAATATAGAGCCAGGCTAGCCTGCACATCCATGCAGTCTGACCAGGTTCTTGTTCGTAGCTTCATTTATTTTACATTGAAATTACTTAACTTTCAATGGACTGTTTCATATTTAACACTGGGCAAATCAAAATTCTTTATTAGACTACAAAAGCTAATTATAAAGAGATTTTGCCCCTTTTTTTACTTTATTTAAATATATATAAGTTTCAACAGATGTTAATTGAATAGCTTAGTTATGTCTTTTGTTTCAAAGTTTTGAATATTACAGTTTACTTCCTAAATTTCTGTGTTTCTTTCTTTTGAATGGTAAGCTTTTGTTGTGAAAAATAAAAGTTAAATTGAAATTGTGTAGATGTGCCCAGTACCAGAGTGTGCCAGCTGGATGTACTTTAGAGACCGACCCCAACGACCCATGTTGCCGAGTACCAGTCTGCAAGAGCCTGCCAACACTGGCACCAAACCCAAACCCAAATCCAAATCCAACTCTCTCACCAAATCCTAATCCAAATGTAACTCCGGCACCAGGTGTGAACCCCACACCTGCACCAAACATGACACCAGCGCCATCTGTGAACCCAATTCCATACATACCAACACTGGCTCCACCTATAATCAATGGACAAGGTAAATAAGTGATATTTTTTTCAGGGATAGTTTTTACTTTCTTTAACCAGTATGTTTTCTATATAACAAGAATGCATCGTTATATTTCAGTACTGCTTATTATCATAAAATGTTTTACAATAACATATACGTACATTGTATGAAGTTAAAATGTGTAATTATATCATTTACATTCTAAGTTATAAATCTGAAGAGTTGTATCATATCAATTTATATGGGGAAATAAACATAAACACATACTATATTGTGTATCCAAATACTTTGAATATCTAATTCAGGAGTTACACCAACACCCCAACCTGGCGTTACTACAGACAAGCCACCACTTCCTGTGTGTGTATACAATGGAAAGTCGTACATGGAGGGACAGAAATGGCAAGATGGCTGCCAGTATAATTGTGAATGTGTTGATGGTATGACTGGTCAGTACAGATGTACTGAAAGGTAGATTGTTTATTTCTGTGGTTAGATTTAGTGTTTTCATTTGAAATAGAGATCTTTTCATATGCATGTATATGTATTTAATTATGAAGTCTGCATAACGCATGCCACGCTAAATAATTAAATGGACTTTAACACCTGTCAATACATACAGAACCATGATCATTTTTAGGGATTTTTTTTCAAAATATATAATGACTGAATAGCAAACAGTGCAGACTATAAACTGACAGGACATCTGATCTTGGTCTGCGCTGGTCACATGGTTGATTCCTTTGCGGTCAGCACGCTGAAGGTTAACACCCCCTCATGTTTGTCAGAGTTTGAAAATGAAAAATATTTTCTTTTTTTTAGAATGAACGTAATAATTTAAAATGTATGAGATATCATATTTGCTCACTATTCAATAATTACACAAATATTTGTTTTTGTATGACAACAGATGTGCTGTATATCCAGCGTTACCTAGCAATTGTAGAATGGTAACCAGCCAGTCAGACCAGTGCTGCAAGGAACCAGAATGCCAACAAGTACAGCCAACACCACAACCAACACCATACTACACACCACAACCTCAACCAGGTAAAACTGTCAACATGTTTATAAATACTAGCATTTGTACAATCATAAATGTTGTAAGTTTTATTGATGGCCTGTATTTAGAGGGCTAAATGTATTACTGCAAATATTACAACTAGAAATGATAATTGATCTCTTTACCTCAAATCTGTGTAAGTTAAATTTAAAAGTTGAAATAATTAGCTCAATTCTATGATTACTTCATTAATAGGTTGCCATTTTCGATAACAAAATGCTCAAGGCAAGGTGCAACAAAACACTACATGCAAAAATAAAGTATAAAATATGGAAAATGAGAACTATGACACAATTTATAAGCTGATGTATGGACTATCTGAAATGTAACTTTGTGTAACAGTTACTGTCTGATTGATTTGAATAGCACAAGTTTGTTATGTTGCATTAGCTCTCAGAAGAATTCAAGCTTTAATCTTAATCTGACTTGATTTTAGGAGTGTCCACCATTAAACCACCAATTGGACCCATAGTGACACTGGCACCTAATCCAAATAACACACCAGCACCCAATCCAATCGCGACCCCAGCTCCACAGCCAATGCCAAAACGTAAGTTCTCAGTTAAATTAGACGGTTATTTCCTTTTAAAGTTGTATTTTTATTTTGCAGATATTCACTTCATAAGTGAAATCATTATATTTTACTAGCATTGAATAACTTTAAAATTTCTACATTTTTCTTACTTTTTGTGAAGATTTTACCATATCTTACCATACTTTATTTGTCTTATTGAGCTTTTTTAAAGATCCTGTAACACAATTTATTTATGCTTTTATATCATAAATATAATGCTGAAATGAAGATTTATCAATATTGTTAGTTCCGAAAAGCATTATTTATAAAGATATTTCCAAATTTACATTCCATGCTAATAAAGGGTGGTTATTAGAATTTTTTTTCTGTAAAGCCTGATTCAAATTTTTCAATAAGAAATGAATGCATATATTTTAATGTTTACATATAATGTGGACAAATATTTGCAGTACATATTTTACATATTCTTTGATGTTTGAAAATTGTTTTAGAAGTCTATGTTATTGTATGTTTAGAATTCTGTGTAATGAGTGGTGTACAGTACACACAAGGACAGCAGTGGAACCAGGGCTGTGACAAGATATGCGTGTGTGATGATGCCTCAACTGGTCATTACACATGTTCTGACAGGTAAACTTGGCATATGAGTAATTGAATGACATAGTGTAACTACTGGAAATGTGTAATTAACCTAGTTTTGTGCAACTGCATCATTATATTTTGATTACAATTGAACAGTTGATACTAACTTTTTAGGTTAACAATATGTTAAACAAAGTTAATCATTTATATACAAATTCTTATGTTCTGTAGCTATTTTAGTGAAAAAAAAACAACATATATTATGTTTAGTGAAAAGACATATATTATGTTCTTTAGCTATTTTGGTGAAAAGACATATATTAACAACTTTTTGTGTAACATATGACATTTTATTACCAAACTATTACAAACAGAAACTTGTATATTAAAATATACCCAGTAAAATAAACTCAATGCTTTTATTGCAGATGTAAAATTTATCCAAATGTGCCAAACACATGCACAATGGTTCCCGACCCCAACGATCCAATATGTTGCCAGGTACCACAATGTATTCCAGTGCCAGGTACCAACGGTCAGCCAACACCTGGACCTACAGATAAACCACAGATCTACACCGATGCTCCCCATGCCGTTGTCACAGGAACCGGTACCCCACCCACTCCATTACCAAGAACAACTGTTGCCCCACAACCTGGTGTATCCCAGCAACCAACACCAGCTCCACAGCCTGTTCCAAGTATGTGTAATACAATAGTAACATTCATACTTTTAGCTCTATGTCTTATGTAAATAAATATTGTGTTTATTATTTTAGTCACAATTTTTTAGGTTGTGATTTCATTGCATAATTACATTAACTATATATACTTTGAAATATAGTCAACATAGATGCCTCAGCATTATATAATCTAACATGATGTATATTAATATAATTATTATAATGACAGAGGTTTGAAAATATAGTGGACAATGATATGTAATGTGCGTTTGAGTTTGTTTACCCTCGCCACTGGATACAGGCCATATGGGCAAGCATCAATGATATGTAATACAACTTGTTGTCTATTTATAACAGAGGTGTGTGTATACAAGGGACAACAATACAACCAGGGACAAAGATGGCAAGATGGCTGTGATTTCAACTGTGTCTGTGATGATGCTATGACAGGAAAATATACATGTACTGCCAGGTAAGATATCACATTCACATAGGTAATACATGTATTCTGTTAAGACATTTATTTAAAGTTACCTTTGAGATGAAGCTCACAGCCTGTTAACTTTCAGAAGTTAAGAACCTGACTTTTTATTGTAATGTTGATTGATCCACAATATTTAAAGCCATTTAATTTACCATTTATCTCAATGCCTATGGGTATGCATTATATATTGATGACTTTTAGTCACTATAGCATAAAGTGTTGATGACAATATTTCTATAACATTCATTTGTGTAAGACATGAAGAGAGATGAGTTATGATACAAGAAAAACAGGTGCTGTTGTAGGAAATAGAATAAGTATCATCTTAGCCATACTTATTGTAGGTATTTTTGCTTATAATTGGACTATTTTGTCCATGTAGAAATGCAAAAAAAAAAAAAAAAACATGCACAAGGTTTCTCTCCCACAAGAAAAACTTAGTAATTCACGATGTCAATGTGTGATTTAATAACCAAGTAAAATAGGCCAATGTACTGGAATAAGACTAACAAAGACTTGAAATAAATTTCTTTGTTAATTTCAAGATGTGGAGATTACCCGAACTTGCCAAGACAGTGTCGACTTCAGAGAGACACCAGAGATTACTGCTGCTATGTTCCAGTATGTGATTGGTCAGCCACAACACCAGCTCCCATCTTCACACCAGCTCCTGTACCAGGTACCACACAGGTTCCTATCCCAGGAGTCTCCACTATAGCCCCACAACCAGGAGTCAATCCCACTCTAGCTCCTCAACCTAAATGTAAGTATGATATTGGATTGTGCCACAATCTCACTTAAAAACTATTGATATGTTTTTTTTTAAAAGATCATGTGTTGTTGAAAAGCAGGAATGTTCTTATCCAGAAAAAGCCAGATTTTATCAGAATTAAGATGTATATAGTTTTTGTTAATATGTAGAGTATTTAGATATATTTTGAAAGATCATGGTCTAATAATTAATTTAAGATTATTCAGTATATTAACTAATTAAGAAATGTTGATTAGTCATAATTTGTCAGTAACCCATTTGTTTGTACTCAATTATAACCAATAATTTTTATGTATTACAAGTTAAGTTTTTTCTGTCAATTACCTTTACTTCCTTTAATCAACATACCTTTATTTCCTCAGCAAGAACATGTACATGAATGAAAATCAAATTTGGTTTATATTTAGCATTCTGTGTAATGAATGGAGTGACATTTGGCCAAGGACAGGTTCTTAATGATGGATGTTCACAGAGATGTAGATGTGATGATGCTAGTAAAAACTATTACAACTGTTATGACAGGTAATATTACAAAAAAGGGCAATAACTCAGTTTAGTAATAACTCTTGTTGAAATGATTAACTCACTCATCTGAGAGTAAATTATTTCTAGAGATGATAACAATAGATATTCAAAATTTCTGAACGTGGTATTCCTTCTTAGGGAAGATATCTGTATGGTGTTGAAGCTATCAGGGGAGACAACTGTATAAACAGTGTTTTAAGTATCAGGGAAGACTTCTGTATAACTGATGTTCAATATATAAGGTCAATTAGCATAATAAAAATGCAACAGTCGCTGTGGTGTAGTGGGTAGCATACTGGACAACCAATCCAGAGACCTGTGGTTCTAGTACCAGCTGCTGAGTGCCGATTTTTCGTTTGGCTTTTCTGTGTGTATACCAAAATATATTTAATTTTGTTAGTTATATTATTAACTGATCATTGTAGTTATACTGTGAACAGTAATGTGGGGCGGAGTCATACAATCATTTTGATATTTCAGATGTGCTAACTACCCACAAGTACCTTCAGGCTGTATTATGGTAACAGATCCAAGTGATGCTTGTTGCCAGATACCACAATGTAACATTATGCCAACACCTAGACCAAATGTAGGTTAATCTCTTATCATGAGTATTTTATGATCTTTAATTAAATTGTAACATAATTAAAAAAAAAAATTACAAACAATTTCTTCTTTTTGTAAAAAATCAAGTAGAATGTTGAGAGGTCCATTAAAAGCCACATATATTCAAAAGAAAGTTTAGCGCTTATTTTTCTATTATAATATATATGATGCATTGTATATCAATAAGAACTTATAGTGGTATCATTATCTAAAGAAAAAATGGGAAATGATATGTTTCACAGTTTGTATTTCGTTATTGAAGAAAGTTTTTTTTAAGTTATATTGAAAGGTTCAGAACTTGTCATTTTAGGTTTATAATTGTAATAATTTTAGATGACCCCTGCACCAAACCCACTTGGATCAACAATTGCACCACACCTGGCACCAGGGCAGACACCAGTGCCAACACCAAAGGTTGTGCCAACACCTGCACCATCCCCAATACCAACAGCTGTACCAGGACAAATCATCAGTAAACCTGACCCAACCAGACCCCCACAACAGAGAGGTAACTTTCAATACAAACTTATTTTATGCTTGATTTGTATCAATTGTATCTAATCATTTCTGTGATGTCATATGACAATCCCTTGTTGTATTCTTGGTTTGGTTGAAATCCATGGTTTCAGTATTTAGAGATATGTAAATTAAACAGTAGCTACTACTCCCTTTAGCTGATATTGTATAGAAGATTTATTTACACACATGTTTAAGGTGTCTTATATATATGAGACTTTCATTTGCAACCTCTATACATAATTACAGTCCATTAATGGATGGAAATTATTTCATGTTTCAAGCATAAAAACATGGATTAAATATAAAGATTATACTAGAAATTTACAAAATATCATATAAATATTTTGTATTTGGTGGTGCATGTTTGCCAACTCTTCGAATTTGTTATTTAGTAGTCAATAAGGACTATTTGTTTCATGTTATAGGATTCTGTGTATACAAGGGAATTAACTACAAACAAGGACAGACATGGAATGATGGTTGTCTATACAACTGTGTATGTCTAGATGATATGACAGGTCAATATAAATGTACTGAGAGGTAATTTAACATGTTATGGTTAATATCAACTTGTTTTTAAAGTTATTTATTTTAACATGACAATGATAAAAGCTGTATATTCAAATCATTATATTACTTTGACTCAACAGTTTTAGTACCATATGATGAAACATTGTCTTCAGCATTTGAGTTAAACAGCAGACCTTCTATATCACTGTTAAACTAACAGATTGTTTTGTTTTTAGCCAAAAACACCTGAACCACTAGGCCAGTGTTCCCCTAATTTCTCTACATGTATTTTTCATTTAAAAAAATAACTTTAAGATTTTGTTAACATATTTGCACTTTATTTGGTTAGTAAGGCTGTGTTTGTATGGTAATTCATGTTTAAACCATTGACTTTGTAAAAGTTATTTAAAATTAATATGTATTATGTCATTTAGATGTCCAAGATATCCAAACATACCAACATACTGTGTGATGGTTCAAGATCCTAACGACCAGTGCTGCAAGAAACCATTCTGTCCAAATGTTGTGCCAACACCAGCACCAAACATGACACCAGCCCCAACACCAAGCATTTTCAACCCATCACCGATACCAGGCATGATCACACCAGCACCGATACCAGGAGTGTCAACACTCGCACCAAAACCAGGACTGCCTACAAATGCACCAAAGCCTGGCACAGTGGCACCCGACCCGTTCCTACACCCAACACCATCAACACCTAAACCTCAACCACTACCAAAGAGTAAATAACTTGGTCACTATAAAATTCAGAAAGTTATTGCATCATATATAAGATGTATATAAAGCCATTTTATTCATAACTTCATGACAAATATCAATAACACTTGAATTTAATTCATTGTAAATATTGGTCATAGATGAGTGTTAAGTAAATATATTATAAAAATCAATCAAATCAGCTTTCAGTATTTGCCTGACTAAACACACATGTATATATATACATGTATATAGAGAATAACATGCTACTGTCTTTTGATATCAATTTTATCAGGCGAGGCTGATATGGGCTAGAAAGGGCGAGGCTTGCCGAGCCCTTTCTGCCCATATCAGCCGAGCCTGATAAAATTGATATCAAAAGACAGTAGCATGTTTTTCTATTTATCATGTAACACATAATAACTGTCAAAATAACAAAATAATCTACTTTTAAATAGCGAATTTCGTTAAAAAGGGGGATTTTTATTCAAAGAAATAATTCTTGAAAACAAATTCCTCCGCCCCTGAAACTTAGAATTTGTAATTGGCGGCCATTTTGTTTTTCGACTCGGATAAAATACAACAGAATGTAGGCCTAATACGATAACATTCTTACCTTTAATTTAAACATCGATCCAAAAATCCGCTTAGAATCACATAAACTAAACTTTACTGCAATTTTTGTCTTGAATTGTCAAATTCAAAAGTTCACGATAATTTCAATCAAAGAAAAGTCATTTGAATCGGCAATCAAACACAAGCTACACAAACATGCGTCTTATTTTTTAAACGAAACAATTTGTTCACTTATTAAATAATAATCCGGCGAAATAAAGTAAACATTTACAAGTTCTCAAAGAAAATCGTCTAGCCTGTTTGTTATGATTACATGTATAGTATGACGTGAACATCGATGATGTCATTTGCAATATAAATTATGACGTCACTTCAAACTATTCGCTATCTAATTTATTCGTAATTGAAATCGAAATAATAAATAAATAAATTTCGCATATTGATTCAAGACTTGTAAGGGTATGAGATTACATTGTAGAATTCACATGCTGATGAAAATGAGAATATAAGCAATTGAAAAAAAGTCCGTTAAAATGGGCGGGGCTAATTTTTGATATCAGGTTACTGACGTGATAACAAAAATAATTATCAGGCAAGTGTTATCGGGCAGTTACCATAGCAGTTGCATGATAAATATAAATCAGTTTGTCCGTAAATCTGGGCATATTTCTTTCTCTTTTGATACCATTAGTCTGCTCAGATATGCACTGCCAAAACAAGGGATCTTTCCTATTTTACGGTTTACGGAATAAATAATATTGAATTGCATACATCAAATGTATAGCTGCCCACTTCTATGGATGATTCTATGTATTTATATATATCTATATATATTTGAGCTATGTTTTTTTTTCTTCCAGATGTTTGCATTATGAGTGGTAAGGCTTACACTCAAGGACAGACTTGGTATGATGGCTGTAAACAAATATGTGTATGTGATGATGGCATGACCGGACATTACACATGTAACCAGAGGTATACCTAAACATTTATAGCTCGTTAAGTTTCAAAATTACGCTATATGACTTTATATTACGTTATATTGTGCAATCATTATAATTATTGTGTAAACAGTTGTAAACTTTACTAAAAATAACAACATTTGTAAACAAAGGGTACATTGACAGAACATTACACATTACAGACTGCATTGTTTGTACACATGCAACCAATGTTCGTACTGATTTGACAAGACACATGAAATAAGCATATATGAGTATTATTATATAAATAAGTAATCTAAATTAATACACATATGTAATTAAAAAGACCATTTGGTGAACAACTGAATATAGTACACTCTTGTACAATTTATCCATGATTATTGTTCTGAAACCAAATTTCAGAAAAAAATGATTTTAAAATGTATTATGAAATTGTTTCCTTGAAACATATTTGAAAAAAGTACAATATGTTTTAAATGTGCATGGTACTTGAATGTAGTTGAAATATATCATTTATCCATGATAAAAGGATAAAGAGTTGATTCCTTCATTGATGAAAATTTTGCATGTACCCGTAGCTTTCAAAGTATAGGCATCTCACTCTGAGCAGCATTAAAAAGTCTTCCTCTGTTAGGGAGAAAGGGGAAGTCACTCTGACTTTTAACATTTGTAACCTACTCTTCATTTACTGACACTATAAAGGTCACATGGAACCTAACAACATTCTGGCATGAGCAGGCATCATTTAATATACAGCTACCCTTTTCTATAAAGCCGAGTTATTGTATTAATACATCATGGTTATTTTTTTTGTTATGAAATAGATGTGCAACATACACAGGCTACCAGTCTGCCTCATGTATATATGTACCTGACCCTAAAGATCCAGTCTGTTGCCAGATTCCACAATGTAACCAAGTCAACAGTACTGTACCAGCACCTGTCACAGGTAAATATCCTAATATTTGTTATTACCTAAATTTTGTCACATGTTATACATGTATATTCTGATCGTTATTATCTTAATTATGTCACATGTTATTTATTCTGTTTGTTAATACAAAATGTATATTAATTTTGTCACATGTTATTATCCTATTTGTTTTTAGTCCCCTACCGGTTTACCGGAGGGGACTTTAGGTTTACCCTCCGTCCGTCTGTCCGTCCGTCCATCTGTCTGTCAGTCCGTCAGTCCGTCCGTCCACAAAACTGGATCCCGCAATAACTTGAAAAGTACTGAAAATATTTTTATGAAACTTGGTATATGGATAGATGGCAGTATGGAGATTATGCACATCTTTTTTTTTTCTTCCTATGTTGAAAATTCTGGTTGCTATGGCAACAAATAGGCTAAAAATATGGCAAATTTTACACATAAACTGGATCCAGTGATAACGCAAAAAGTACTGGAAATATTTTTATGAAACTTGACATATGGGTAGATGGCAGTCTTGGAATTATGCACGTCTTTTTCTTTTCTTCCTATGTTGAAAATTCTGGTTGCTATGGCAACAAATAGGCTGAAAATATGGCAAATTTTACACATAAACTGGATCCAGTGATAAAGCAAAAAGTACTGGAAATATTTTTATGAAACTTGACATATGGGTAGATGGCAGTCTTGAGATTATGCACATGTTTTTTCTTTTCTTCCTATGTTGAAAATTCTGGTTGCTATGGCAACACATATACTGAAAATATGGCAAATTTTACACATATACTGAATCCAGTGATAACTCAAAAAGTACTGGAAATATTTTTATGAAACTTGACATATGGGTAGATAGCAGTCTTGATATTATGCATGTCTTATCTGTTCTTCCTAATTTGAAAAAATATCAGTTGCCTTGGCAACAAATAGGCTTAAAACATGGCAAATATAACAATATTTGTGATAAGTCAAAAAGAGCTGAAAATTTTTATGAAATTGCATCTTTAATTCAAGACTTATCTCCTCTTTAAGAATTTTGCTTTTAAAATGTTATATTTTGGTAACAGGGATGTTTCAAATATTAACTTTAGAGTGTCCTTCAGTCCGTCTGTCTGTCTGTTCATAAAAACTGTTTCCTGTGATCACTTTTAAAGAACTTTTCCAACAAGTTTACTTAAAATAGAGAAAAATTGAAACATAAGTGAATGGCCAATAGCCCTTCAGAATGTTGATGGGGTTCTAACCGGTAGGGGACTTATGGATTGCTTGCAATACTATGATAATTGCTTGTTATTTTAATTACGTCACATAGAATTAACAGTGTTATTAGTTTTTGCATTTATTTCCGGAATGTGGCTGGTAATTTACATTATAATATCTATTTTTACTTGTCTTGATAAAATTACAGGTAATTGTGATGATAATTTATATAATTTATTATGTTACTTCATGTATCTATATAGTTACAAAACTAAGTGTGGTAATTGGCATATGTTGTTGGTAAATATTATATCTTTAGTTGGTAAATATTATATGTCTTTATTTTACAGGAGTACATACTGGTGGTGGACCAGTCCCAACACCACGTCCAATCATGACACCAGCACCAGGTAAGTGAGGAAGTTGTTGTATTATCTTGTTGCATGTTTAAAATTCTATTATAAAAAGTTATTGTTCAAGTTGAGCTTTTGTATATAAAATAACATTTTAGGATAAAAAGAAATGAGCTGCGTCATGACAAAACCAACATAATGGGTTTGCGACCAGCATGGATCCAGACCAGCCTGCATCTCTGCGCATTCTGATCAGGATCCATCAGTTTCTCTAGTTGTAATAGGGTTTGTAAGCGAACAGCATGGATCCTGATCAGACTGCGCGGATGCGCAGGCTGGTTTGGATCCATGCTGGTCGCAAACCCATTATGTTGGTTTTGTCATGACGGGGCTCAAATATCTTAGCTTGGTGGGTGTTATTTGCTTTTATTGTAAAGGGAAAATACAGTATGTTTTGGTTTAAACTGAAGATGATATTTTGACTACATTTTCTGTATGACTTCCCTTTATTTATATTCAGGCACATACAGCACCCTTGCTCCTATACCAGGGGTAAGCACATTGGCTCCTATACCAGGTGTAAGCACATTGGCTCCAAACCCCAACATCAACAATACCCCTGCACCAACACCTGCTCCAAGTAAGTCACCCAAAGTACATGTGTAAAAGTTTTTATTTTATTTTTACACATCAATTTTATATGTTCTATGATTCACTCTAGCGTGACAGAAAATATAACATACAATTAACTCCCTTGGTTCGTATTCAGTATTTAAAAGAGTTCTGGCCCCTTCTCAAATACATTTAAACTGACTGGGTCGTTCAGTAATGAAATGTAGATTGTAATTTATTTTATATTAGGTGTTGATTTTCATATGTTTCATCATTTAGATTTTTATGAGGTTGAAGATTTACTCAGACACCAAATAGAATATCCTTTGTTTAGAAACTGATAATAAGTTGTAATAAATATTTTTATTATTTTCAACTTACTGAAAGTTATATTGTTCAAAATACGTTTTGCATTTAGACATTGTCTTCATTACATGTTGTTACATGAATGCAATAAAGAATTGCATAAATTTTGTGTTTAAGAAATATGCGTGTACAAAGGCAGCGTGTATACACAAGGTCAAACATGGAGAGATGGATGTCAGTATGACTGCACATGCTATGATGCTGAACATGGAAAATACAGATGTACCGATGTGTAAGCAGAATTTTGAATTTTAAATTAGTGAAATAACTGAACATTTTAATTTTGTAATACATAATGAATATAATGTAGTTATGCTGACGAAATTTCAGTTGTTCAGTAATTTCATTACATTTTTGTATGTGAGGGAAAAACAAACAATCTTTTATGATTTATCATAAATGTTTTGACAAATCATAAAGTTGAATATTTGCATTATGTTAAATCTATCTGTTTAAAGCAACAGGGATGTCAGTAAATAATTCTTTAAGACATTGTGACTATTTCCAGTTCTTAAAAGTTTTAACATGTCATGTTTAACTGGTTTTAGATATAGGTAGTCGGGCACCAAACACAATAAAAATAGTGAATAATTATATTACTTAAAAATAGCAAGGACAATAAATACATAATTTGAGTTTTTGTTTATTCACCTGAAGGTAAAATCATGTGTTTCTTAAATTATTTTTTTTAAATGAATAAAACTGTATATGCATAGCTGACAAAGTTTAACATATATGTGTGGTCAATTTTAGAGAGAGAAAATGCTTAATACAATATTGTGAGCAAGTTTGTTGTATATATTTGTTTAAAGTTTAAATACGTTACATTATCTTATTCTTAATATACATGTTATTGCGTTATATAACTTATATTGTTTTCTTGTCCAGCTGCCCAAGATATCCAGGTCTTCCACCTCAGTGCAGACTTGTGAGAGATCCAATGAACCCATGTTGCCAGAAACCAGACTGCTCCACCCCTGCACCCCAGGTCACATTGGCTCCAGTACCAGGTGTCAGCACCCCAGCACCAAACCCATTTGTAACACCTACCACAAGTAAGTTTCTTTATTTAGAAGATTATTTGTACAAAAGTTACATCGCCAAAAAGGGTAATCATCCCGTAGCTTTAGTTTACATTAGATATCTGTGGATTTAGTTTTATGTAGGGTGGTATCATACCAAGATTCAAAAGGCTTGATATGAAAATGTCACATTTTAAGTCAATCAGCAACACAGGTTTATACAGAATCTGAAACAGTTTCAGAGCTGTGCCTTATTCAATTAGTGCAATGTCAGGAAATTGTTACAATTTGTTTATGAACAAGATAGTATTTCAAACTAGATATATTTTCACAGTTATGGCAAAATTCAACATTTGATATATAGGAAATTAAGATGTTGCACATGTTTGTCATAGATATTTTATAATATAGTTTATAACTTATTATGTTTGATGTTGGAACAATTCTAGTTTGAATGAGAAGTGTGCTTATAAGAAGAAATTCTTAAATCTGTATTGCTGTAGTTTATATTATAAACTAATTACAATTTTTGTAAAATTTAGGTTTCTGCGTGTACAAGGGTGTCCCATTGAGAAAGGGACAAACATTTGATGATGCCTGTGACAAGGTTTGTAGATGTGAGGACACCATGTTGAATGATGTTGTGTGTGACGACAGGTATGTTGTTATATCTGATTTCTAAATTGAATCTTTAATTGAGCCGCGACATGACAAAACCAACATAATGGGTTTGCGACTAGCATGGATCCAGACCAGCCTGCGCATTCGCGCAGTCTGTTCAGGATCCATGCTGTTCGCTTACAAACCCTATAACAAGTAGAGAAACTGATAGCCGGCAGCATAGATCCTGATCAGACTGCGCAGATGCGCAGGCTGGTCTGGATCCATGCTGGTCGCAAACCCATTATGTTGCTTTGTCATGACGCGGCTCAATTATGTTTAGCTTATGAACTTTCAATGCCGTATTAGTGTAAATCCTTTCTTTACTAAATATCTGAAATTGACTTGTCCATCTTTCTAACTGGGCAGAACCATTCATGGCTTTTAGGGAAAATTTTTGAATGGTAAACTGTCTAGACCATGATCAGATGGCACAGATGTGCTGGCTTATTTTGGTCTACAATTGTTGCACAGGTAGAATATGTTGCTGCCAGCAGGCTAAGTGTTAAACTAGTTGTATAGAAATTGATTTTCATTCCAGATGTCCAACCTACCCAGCCCTTCAATCCGGCTGCACAATGGTAACAGATCCAAGAGATTCATGTTGCCGTGTACCACAGTGCCAACCAACAAACTCAGTCACAAATCCAAACACCACAATCCTTACTGGAGTACCTGGCACAATTACTGGACATACACAACCTAACCCATCTAATCCATTCACTGGATCTAGAGGTAATAATATATTACTTCATTAATAACTTGTATCTCAAACTATAATCATATCATATGTAGATTAAAATGTTCATATTTACATACTAATCTACGCTGTTATATATTCTTTGAAAAAAGAAAAAAGTTTGATTATCCTTATGTATTATAAGATTCTATCAAATAGATCAAGTTTCTAATTTCTTTTAACCCAAAGTTTTCTTACTTACAAATTGGAATTGTAACAAATAGTCAGTATTTAATAAGCCTATCAGATAATTAGTTTATTTTATACATATGTAATAATATAATTGTGCCTAAATAAAAAGACTGCATATATTTTGATAAATGAAAATAGAAATTTTTAATTGACATTATCAAGATAAGTCCTTATACTCCATGATTATTGAGCCAGTGTACTCAGTGATGAATAACTTCAACATGTGATCATTTGTTGCATATAAAAATGTAAAATATTATATTTTTACAGATGTGTGCTTGTACCAGGGTAAGGCATATAAGACCGGAGATAAGTGGGATGATGGATGCACCTACACGTGTGTGTGTATTGATGGAACAACTGGTCAATACAGATGTACTGAGAGGTAGATTATGTATATCTGTGATAGATAAATGAGCCAAGTCATGACAAAACCAACATAATGGGTTTGCGACCAGCATGGATCCAGACCAGCCTGCGCATCCGCGCAGTCTGATCAGGATCCATGCTGTTCGCTTACCAACCCTATTACAAGTAGAGAAACTGTTAGCAAACAGCATGGATCCTGATTAGACTGCGCAGATGCACAGGCTGGTCTGGATCCATGCTGGTCGCAAACCCACTATGTTGGTTTTGTCGTGACGCGGCTCAAATGACTTTAGATTTAGACCTGTGTTAATCAGTTTTAGAGATGTCAAGCATGCATTGCTAAGACAATCTGAAAGTCAAACTGCACTGATGTTGTTGACTGGCTTGACTCTATACTGGGAGCATAGACATGCTTTTTATCATGTTTGTTGTGTTTAGAGAGTTTTGATAAGTAGATGATTACATGATGTGTAAAAATAATAGTAATGTTAAGATAAGATTAAAACAGTATTCATGTACATTTAAGGTTGTTTAATGTATAAGTAAAGTCAGATTTTTTGAGTGAAGTAAGTAATGTCTCAATGGTGAACAAAAAATATATGAATACAAAAAATAATTGAAAAACACCCTTGTCAAAGATTGGATAGCTGACATGTAGAACAGAAAACATTTTGGAAAATTACATTCAAGTCTTTTTTTGTGTTTGCCAGTTTCATCATTTGAGAAACATGATGTGTGTTTCAGAGAATTGTTCATTATTATGCCAAAATTAATGTAGAAACAATAGAATTAAGATTACTGAATTGTTGAAATGCCTCGATGTGAGTAAATTGTATTATTACATGTGTCATACATTGTTTCTTGTTACATATATATTACATATATTTTAAACATTTTTTTCTCCACTGTTTATTTTTCTGAAGATGTGCGAGATACCCCAATGTACCAGCTCAGTGTAGTATGGTAGCCGACCCCAGGGACAATTGTTGCCAGAAACCTTACTGCCAGTTCATCGCTCCAACACCAGCACCAAACCCGAACCTTACACCTAGCCCATACCTGACACCACAGCCAGGTGTTTCAACCATTGCCCCACTACCAGGTGTTTCCACTATTGCACCAAACCCAGTGAACACACTAGCACCACAGCCGGGAGTTCAGCCAACCCCAGCTCCAAGAAGTAAGACACTTTTAGATATATCCTTAAAATATGATTTACATGACTTGTATAATTTTTAATTTTATGACTTGTGAGAATCTAGGAATTTTATTATGGTCTTTAAAGCTTGAAGTATAGACCATTTAAATAAGCACACATTTCTTATTCATATGTTTGTGTGTACAGTGTACACATATTGGATTGTGTACTTGTACATATGTATTAGAAAATTTCTTTCATCATATGACCATGAAAATTGAACATTTTTTACTACATTCTGATGTCATGTTATTGTCAACAATGAGAAACAGCTTGCAGCGGAGTAAATTAGATTTTAATAGTATGAATTGACAGTGGTAAATCTTGTATATACCCTGCTTTGAATTTGGAACAGTTCATTTAAAGTACAATGGATTTCATTATCAAGACAAAAGTTAAGTCTTGTCAAACTGTACTGAAGAACAGGCTGGCCTAGGTCTATACTTGTGGCAAAGTTTACTAGGGTTAGAGTTAATTTAACAAATGAATGTATTGTATAAAGCTGGTGCCCTGTATAAAGGGAGATAATTTGTATATTTCAGTGGTATGCCAGTACAAGAACCAGCTATACAGACAAGACCAGGTCTGGTATGATGATTGTAATGCTGTTTGTAGATGTGAAGATGCCAATACTGGTTATTACAGATGTCAAGAAAGGTCAGTGAATATATCCTATATCAATAAACAGACGGTATATTTTAAGGACTATCTACTTTTTTTCTGAATTCTAATTTCAGTTCCTACAATGTACTATATTTCTTTTACTTTGATATCACATATGATGTGGAGTGGTTATATTGTTTGTTTCAAATTATCAAAGACTTTGTGTGTCCAAAGAATATTTACTTGGAAAAAAAGTCCTGCTTACAGATATACATGGTCTTTCCATAGTATATGTAGATAATTTTGGAAATATTATGCTTCTTGATATTCTAGAATACCTAGGATGTTCTTATTACCAAAGTCAGATGTCCTTGAGTAATTAGATATGTACAGTGAGTTTGTATTCACCTTAAAGGTGACAGATGATTAAAATAATAAAAGACAATAAGAAAAATTTGGATGCTCACAACAAATTACACTTATAATCAGACTTCCCACAGTTGATAATTTAATTTACTTTATGTGCTTTGACAATCACAATAAGTATATACATGTACATGCATTGTTCTATTTAGATGTGCAAAATATCCAAATCTACCTCCAACTTGTACCCTGGTACCAGACCCGAAGGATCCAACTTGCTGCAAAGTTGCTTCATGCCCAACACCACCAACCAGTGTGCCACCAACACCAGGATACCTGATACCAAACCCCAACACACCAGCACCACCAATGGTAACTGGTGTAGCTCCAGTACCAACACAACCATCTCCATACCCAAATCCAAACCCACAGAACACTCCAGCCCCACAACCTGGTGTATCTACTTTAGCACCACAGCCAGGTGTGAACCCCACACAAGCACCACAGCCTAAACAACAAGGTGAGTGTTGAAGAAAACAAATTTTAATAAGTGTAATATCCACATATTATATAAGATTTTTTTTAAAGTAAGTTTAATGGTAAAAGACAAACAGTTTAGACTGTTTTAAAAATGTGTTTTATTTGTGTTACTCTTCTCTTGTATGACAATAGTATGGTGTACAATAATGGACATTCATATATTTCAGGATGTTTCTTCAATGGTAAGGTGTACACAAAGGGTCAGAAATTTGATGATGGCTGTGACTACCATTGTATCTGTGTGGATGATATGACTGGACAGTATTCATGCACAAAACGGTAAATTCTCTCTCCAATTTCTAGCTTCAAAGTCAAGTCATTTCTGTATATTTTATTAATTTGTAACTTACTGAATTTGCATAATAGATTTGTCTTTGTTTTTTCAATTTGGTCAGCCAGGAATCTTTTTGAAGGGACCTAAAACACGATATTGATAAATAGAAGAGTGCTAAAATGTATGTTTAAGAAGAAGTTACAGAAAGACTTTGCCATACAGGGTATTCCATTAAAGTGGATCGAATCTTATTTAACCAACAGAGATATGAAAGTTGTCATTGAACAGTCCTCATCGGATACTGAACCACTGAGGTTCGGGGTTCCCCAGGGTTCTTGTGCTGGACCGGTGATATTTACTCTCTATATAGCTGCCCTTAACAAAATAGTCCAGAAATATCCGGCGGATTTGTATGGATATGCAGACGATCATAAAGTGGCATTTAAAATTAGAGCTGGTGACCATCACAGCGAAGAAATCGTTCGCCAAAAACTCACTGACTGTCTTAATGATATTGTGTCATGGATGACTAGATTTAAGTTAAAAATGAACAATAGCAAAACAGAAATCATCATTTATGGTACAAGACATCAGCTGAAGAAATTGAACATTTCCAGTGTCAATGTTGGTGGGGTCGAAGTCAACTGTGTTGACAATGTGAGAGTTGGAGTACAGAAGACCAGCACTTTAAGTTTTGACATCCATATTCAAAAGAAGTGTCAGATTGCACACATGCAGTTAAGAAATTTGAAAGCAATCAGAAAACATCTCACTCAGAAATCTGCAGAAATCCTTGTTCACGGTTTGATTCATTCACATTTAGACATTTGCAATGGATTATTCGCTGATATTCCAGCCTATCAACTTGATAAATTACAACGTGTGCAGAATTATGCTGCTAGAATTGTCACTGGAGCTGCTTACTATCAATCCAGTTCTGAAATTCTTAAATCACTCCACTGGCTTCCAATTCGAGCAAGAATCATGTACAAAGTTATTGTGGCTGTGTTTCGTGTTGCAAATGGCACCGCTCCATTGTATCTTCGTAAATTGTTCACTAAATGCCAGAGTCAGTACAGGAAAAGACTGAGATCCTCATCATCTAGCCACATTCGGTTTGATAAACCATCAACAAATTCAAAACTTGCTGATAGATCCTTGGCCATTGTGGGACCTAAATGGTGGAATTCATTGCCAGACTATCTGAAGGACATTACCAATGAAAATCAGTTTAAGGCCAAACTTAAAACATACTTGTTTGGACTGTTTTTCAACTAGAGTTGTAGATTGGCTGTGCCATCGAGACTGGGTTTGGGAGTGTCTTGATCAAGCATATGTGTATATAGTCTTTATAATGTACAGCGCAATCGAATATTTAATACATTTTTGCGCTATATAAATGTCTTGTATTTGTATTTAACAACTTGGTAACATAATTTAACAAACATTTTTATCACTAATTAAGAAAACATTAATTAGAAAAATGCATGATTGTTGTAAATTAATTTATCATTTCAGTTGTACTGATTATCCACAAGTACCAACACAGTGTGTGATGGTTCAAGATCCAAAGGATGCTTGTTGCCAGGTACCATATTGTGACTATGTGAACCCATCTCCATTCCCACATGGTATTCCTACACCAGCACCAAATCCGTTCCAGACACCACTGCCAGGACAAGTTACAGTAGCCCCACAACCTGTCACCAGACCACCTCCAGGTAAACTTCATGAAATCTATAAAACAAAAATGATAAAGAACATATTCTATATTACAAAATTTAAAAAAAAGACAAGCATAGATAGTTCTACATCAAAAATGATTGGCATAGATAATGATAAAGTACATATTCTTTTATTACAATTAACATTATCTGTTTGGTTATACATGTATATGTATATAGCATGATGACATTATATTTTTTGTAGATATATATCATTGTGACATAATTTTGGTGATATATAGCATTATGACATTTTAATATCTGTGATATATAGCATTATGACATTATAATATTGGTGATATATATAGCATATTGACATTACAATGTATATTTTGGTGATATATAGAATTATGACATTATAATATTGCTGATATATAGCATTTTGACATTACAATGTATATTTTGGTGATATATAGCATTAAGACATGATATTGCTGATATATAGCATTATGACATTATAAAATTGGATATATTTAGCATTATAACATTGTATGTTTGGTGATATATAGCATTATGACATTATAATATTGCTGATATATAGCATTATCACATAATTTATTCTTGGTAATATATATCATTATGACATTAAAGTATTGCTGACATATAGCATTATGAAATTATAATATTGGTGATACATGTATATAGCATTATGACATTATATTTGTGTATATGTCAGGTTATTGTGTGTACAAAGGAGTATACTACCAGCAAGGACAGACCTGGGATGATGGCTGTGATAAACGTTGCAGATGTGACGATGTTTCTACTGGCTACTACTCATGCTCAGAAAGGTGCTGTGTCTGTTTGTTTGTTTGTATCATTTGAGTTAGGCAAGTGCTACCCTATTTAAATCATGGTCTTTCCAACATTTAACTTGATCAGTTTTTCATTTATTCTGTTTTTAGTAACTATGTATATAGATGCTGATTTGTTTGCACAGAAAGTACATATAGGCACTGAAAGGTGCATCCCTTTTATACATGTTAATTCAAATATTATGATTAGAAACAAGCTATTTGTCATGCCCATTGTCTGAGAGAATACAAAATATAGGATTTATGAGTAGGCTGAGAAAATGTATTTATCTATAATGTTACATGGTATATTAAATATGCATTTTAGTCAAAGATTATCAATATTTACTGAAATACACCACTCCTGACATAGATATGTATTTTTTAATGAGTCAATTTTTTTTCTTCAATTTTCATACATTGTTTCCTGTGTTTTGCAGATGTCCAAGCTATACCGGTCTCCCATCTAGCTGTAGACTGGTAACCGATCCTAATGACAGTTGTTGTGTGGTACCCGATTGCAACACCTTTACACCAGCTCCTACACCATTGATCTTTAACCCAGGAACCAACCCACCAATCAGTGGAGTAAATCCATCTACCACACCTAAACCAATCATTGTGGCACCAACATATGTACCAGCTGTATTCTCTGGTTCCAGCAGTAACAACCCTGGCAGTTATGGAACCGGCCCCTCAGGAAATGGCAGTAAGATTCTTATTTCATAGAAAAACCAACAAAATAATTTTAGTGATTAAAGTGTTGTTGAAGTTATTAGGGCTTAGGATGATGACTGTTTTTGATGTAATAGCAAATTTCTGTGTGAAAGACTTAATCTTGCTATAAATTCCAATCTAGATTCTTAAAGTACTGAATTCTGAAATACTGAAAAATTTAGGTAAGAAAAAATTCAACCTCCCAACAATTTGTATTTTAATTATCGTACAAAATATATGTTTATTTCAGAGATGTGTGTATACAAGGGTAAACCTTATACTCAGGGACAAACATGGGATGATGGTTGCCAGTTCAGATGTACATGTTTCGACCAGAACAGAGGCCAGTACAGATGTACCGAGAGGTAGTGTATATAACAATTCCATTGAGGTCCATGTCACTAAAATACTTCTTATAAGAAAAATAATAAATTAATAGATATAACAATTAACGATTTAAAAGAATAGTTACGTGCAAAATTAGAAATATTTGTAATGATTGTTAATTGATCATTATGTCTTCTTGTCAGTTATTGCATAGAGCAAATCTCTTTTTCCTACAATTATAATAAGGATGTGTTGAGACATTTGTAGCAGTTTGTTAAAGAACTTATTTATGAAAAATATTTCATAAACCATTACATTACATTTATTTCTCTTGACAAGCTTATTGAGGATAATATGTTATATGCTTTCTCCAGATGCCCAAGATATATCAATTTACCCGCCTTCTGCACATACAAACAAGATCCAAATGACGCCTGCTGCAAGATAGCATCATGTGATGTGTCCCAGGTGCCAACCCCAGGTGTATTTGTACCAACACCTAACCCACAGTATACTGGTGTACCTGGTGTCAACACAGGACCATCAGGCTCAAACCCACCAAATACCTACCAGCCAGGTTTCAACACTGGACCCTCAGGCTCAAACCCACCAATTACCTACCAGCCAGGTTTCAACACCGGACCCGCAGGCTCAAACCCACCAATTACCTACCAGCCAGGATTTAACACCGGACCATCTGGCTCACAGCTTCCAATCAACCCAACATCAGGGACAGGCACTTCTGGCAATAGAAGTAAATATCAGAACTTATTGAGTTCCTTTCATATTACCCAGTTTTAGATATTTCCTAATATTCTCTAAGAGAAGAAACTCATGTGTATTATACTCGATAGATTAGAGACAATATGCCAAAACTATGCTGTCAGATGTGTATTAATATGATATATTAGAGACAATATGCCAAAACTATGCTGTCAGATGTGTATTAATATGATATATTAGAGACAATATGCCAAAACTATGCTGTCAGATGTGTATTTATATGATATATTAGAGACAATATGCCAAAACTATGCTGTCAGATGTGTATTTTTATGATATTTTAGAGACAATATGTCAAAACTATGCATTCAGACATGTGTATTTATATAATAGATTAGAGACTATATGCCAAAACTAAACATTCAGACACGTGTATTTATATGATATATTAGAGACTATATATGCCAAAACTATGCTTTTCAGACATGTGTATTTACAAAGATATGACAACACATCCACTTGGCTCCACATGGCAAGATAATTGTAAGAGCTGTGTATGCGAAAACCCACTCACTAATTCCTACAGATGTACTGACAGGTAAAATAATGTCAACCCTAGATTTAATATGTCTTTAAGAAGATGTTGGCTGCTCAAGTGTAAAAGTAACCTTAGATACATAAGTCCATAAAACAGTTATTATTGCTAAGACTTTGATAGTTAGGTACATGTATGATCGAGCAATTCAATATAGCTTTACATTTCTTGACCATATTATTTTATAGTAAATGATATTTGCAGGTACATAAAGAGTTATAACTTTTAAAAAAAACATATTTTTTTATTTTTAGATGCCCAGTTTACTCAGACCTTCCAAGCACCTGTTATCTGATTAAGGACCCTAAGGATAATTGCTGTTCCCTACCTCAATGTTCAGGTTCTCTTTCACCCGTAACTGTTACTGGTTCCCAAACTCCAGGAACATCTGGATCCAATATTGTACCAGTTGGTACCCATACTCAATTCACTGGTAGCTACAACCCACAACCTGGAACCGGCACCATTTCTGGAAGTAGAAGTATGATTTTCTTTTGCTTCTTTTTATTTTTTACACTGTTGAAGTAAGGTCAATGAGAGATAATTGTAATTACTTGATATTAAAACCATCATGCCTGAAATATAGTTATATTGGTTTTCTGAAAAATAGAGTGATTTTGATTTTGAACATGTTAAAGTGTAACTATTTATGTATGTTAATGCAGAGACAAAGAGATGTTATCTACATCTCTGGTTTATGTAATATGTCCATTACTTTAAGCATTGAAAAAGTAATTACTAATTTTGTATTATTTTACAGCTGATTGTGTATACAAAGGAACTACCCATAAACAGGGTGAGTCTTGGGATGATGGATGTGCCTACACATGTACCTGTACCGATGCTTCAACTGGTCTTTATACATGTACTTCAAAGTAAGTTCTGAATATGTATGCACAGTATATATACTTTTTTTTAAATAAAAGAACATTGTGCATTGTATAATTGAATATTTATTGAATTTTGTCAAGGGTATTGTCTGGGTCATAGTATTTTCCATTTTTTGTGCATAGATTATGAAGAAATGTTTTTTTTCCATTTAATAAATGTGCAAAGATTATGAAGAAATGTATATGAATTTGTTTTTAGATACATAATTGTATTTCAGCCATAATGCATAACCCTTACTTTTGTTTTTTAAGCTTTAAGGTTTCTTAAGCAATATTTTACAATGTATATATACATGTACATCTTATTCTGATTTTGCTGTGCTGTGAAAAATGTGCTTGTTAAACTTGTAATTGCTTATTTGCAAAACTTATAATTACTTATTTGCAAAACTTATAATAACTTATTTGCAAAACTTATAATTACTTATTTGCAATGCTTATAATAACTTATTTGCAATAACAGATGCCCACAATACCCAAGCAGTATTCCATCTTACTGTAAGATGAACACAGTACCTGGCATGTGCTGTAAATCATTGAGCTGCAATATCCCACAAGTAGGAAACTACGTACCATCTCCTATGCTTATACCAACCCCTGCTCCACAACTTCTACCTGGCCAGACACCAGCACCAAACACAGGAAGTTCACAGGTCATTTACCCATCTGGTACCCAGCCTGTCATTGGAGGACAGAGCCTGTATCCAGGCAGTGGTTATGCTCTTCCACCAGGTGTCTCCAGCGGAAGCATCAGAAGTAAGTATTTTTATATAATGCACGCTTAATGGGCTTAAAACTAGATTATCAGACATTTAATAGGTCATTTTGTAAATAATGAATTGAAATAATAATTGACAGAAGTTATAAGTAGTTTATTCACTATGTTAATACATACATTGATTCACTTTTAAAGACCAATGTGTGTACAAGAACAGACTGTACAACCAAGGAGAGACTTGGGACGATGGATGTGATTATGTTTGTGAATGTATGGAAGCCAAGACTGGTTATTACCAGTGTAAACCACAGTAAGTTATAGCCATTTCTTACTAGAGAAATATGTGCTACTTCTTGCAAACGCCTTATCTTTGATTTTACATGACAGACAAGCATCACTTTATATTTCAAAGTCTTTGATTTGTGATTTTTTTTTAATTTGATACATATCTTCCTTAAAATGATAAACAAGCATTAGCTATATTCCTTTTACTTGGTATGCATTTTATTACTAATTAACTGTTCGCCCATTCAGCTGAGGAGAGCATCAAATATATTATATTAGTGTCACTGGTCTGTCATTGAACAAGGCAAAATTTCTCCATGACATATGATCTCAAACATTGAGTCTAATGGTCATTTGTCTCTCATCATTGGTTCTATAATCAGTCAATTGCTGAGAAGTTTGTAATTACTGGTTATTTATTTAGTAATTTTGGTAAGAAGAACTTACTGCAAAGATATGACCATTATGTGTTTAAGTCAGCATCAAAATAAGAAAATTAATCAAACAGTTAGTTTTTAGCTCTATTGAATATTGTTTATAATGACTCCCATCTACACTTTAAAAATAAAAAACAGAGACAAATGGGAATATGCATTTATTTAACAGGTGTCCAAAATACCAGCTCCCACAGGGATGTTATACAGTAAAGGCTGCTGGCAAGTGCTGCGATGACCCTGTCTGTATGAAACCAGATGGTTCCAAGTTCAATCCTGTTACCAACCCACAGACTGGATACCCAGTGTATGGCTCATACCAACCAGGCACAGGAGGATTCAGACCCGGCTACAACCCAAGCACCGGAACATATGGCACAACAGCTGTAACTGGATATAACCGTAAGTGTTTTTTTTAAAGTATTCTGACAAAAATTGTTCAATTATTTTTTAATCATTATTTCAAAATGAATAATATTCCAAAGCGAGCATCACAGACTTTTATTGTAATTAAAGTTCGTGCTAGCATTTATGAATTTTAGTCCCTCATATTAGCAAATTATTGAATAAGCAATGATTATGTCAACCACAACATATATGTATCTATGTTGATACTAACATAGGATATGAGGCTATTTTATGGGTACTTTTACACAATTTGTGACAATTAATGTTAAATATTCATGTAAGCATAAAGTAATTTATTTGTTCACCACTTCACAGCATTTTTAATATTAACTAGTAAAATTTTGATAAACATTATCAAGAATCTGGAGGTGAGATGCTTTAATGCAACATTGTTTGTGATGGTTATTATATATAATAAAATTTTTTCTTCTCTTACAGATCAGTGTATATACAAGGGAAGAATCCATACACAGGGACAACGTTGGGATGATGGATGTGACTATTCTTGTCAATGTACAGATGCTCAGAATGGAATGTACTCATGCTCTCCAAAGTATGTACATGTACATTTACCTGTATGTTTTATATATTATGATATGTTAAAATAGATACAGTGAAACCCCTCAATTAAGACCACCATTTGGACTGGTCCATAAGGTTATTATATAAGGTATTATTCAGAACTTGCCAATTGTGAATTTTCCCCGACTTATTCCTGGATGCAAACAAACTTTGACTGTTACAGCTTCATGGTGAACTACTATTTACTATAGAGTAGTAAACATGTTGCTGTAATTATCAATATATTTACCAAGTTGTAACTGGAAAGTTTGTTTGTACCAGGGGATTAGACAGGGAAAACCCTCATTTGCCAAGTTATGGAGTATCTGTATTAAGAAGACATTTGATTAGCAGTTGGTGTGAAATAATTTTATAGATATATATTGTTTATTATTATAAATATTATCAGCAGTTAACTCATCATTGAATTGTTTGTTAATTTTATCATGTTTAGAAACATCATCACTATTGTATTTTCAATAAAAGATTCTTTTGATTTTGTTCAAATTTATCATGAAATAAACAATTTTTTATTATTTTTACAAACATTTAATTGATATCTTATTTATTTATAGATGCCCAACTTACACATCAATGCCATCTGCCTGCCGCATGGTAACAATTCCCGGCCAGTGTTGTCAAGAACCACGCTGTAACTATCCAGCAGTGACAACGATCGCAACACCTATCATCCACACGGTGGCGCCACATATCTCGGGCTGTGTCGATGCTATTCCCAACTGTGCTGCTTATGGACAACAGAGTTGCAGAGCACCATACGACAAATGGGCAGAACAAAACTGTAAAGCTTACTGTAACCTATGCCGTAAGTATTGAAAATAGGATTTAACTCTATAGTGTTGGAGTGTTAGAGCAGTACCTCTAGATTCTTGCAGAAATCATGATCTGATCAGATCACAAAGTAGACAAATATTACATTTTTCGCCGATTCTTACACTATTTCATTCATGATCATACATTTATTGGTTTAAAGAGATGAATTAGTCATCTTAAAGTGCATTTCGGCAGGTAAAAAAAGCAAGATTTTAGCAGTTAATCATTCAAGTGTCTTGTCTGGTATACACTGGAATACGGTATAATTAGTGTGGTGCTTCAACACTTTATTCTAGTTTCACTCTTTAAAATATCATGTAGGATGACGGATTTTATGAAAAATTTATCAAAATTTATGTTTTTTTTTCTTTGCAGCCCATACCCAGAGTCCACTCTCAAACCAATGTGTTGACAAACTACAGAATTGTGATGCATATGATACAACATCATGTACAGGTGTTTATGAACCATGGGCGAGAGAAAACTGCAGGAAGACTTGCAACCTCTGTAGTATGTATTTATAACTCTTATTATTTTTTGTTTCGTTTATTTGTGATTGAACTGCTGCCAAATTAAGTAACTTGGACATTTTGTTGCGTTACTAGTGACTACAGAAAACATGTTTAATAGATATGTGATTTTTATTTTGTAGTTATAAAAAAATATAATTTTTATTATAAACTTTAAGCTGTATCAATTTATCCACAGACAAAACCTGAAAAATGGAAAAGAAATGGTCTAAATTGACATCTTGACTATCTGCATAAATTTTCCATACTATTTTAATTAAAATTGCTAAAAGTTTTTTGTTTTTGCTTATGAAATTGATGAAGGAATTCGATACAAATGTATCATGATCTTTAAAGGACTTCAGTTGGAAAAAGTGACTGTATATTTGTACACTATAATTGTCTTCATTATTTTCCCCAGCAACATCACCTCCAGCTATTGTGACTCACTACCCAGCACAGACTCTGCAGCCATGCTCCGACAAATTGCCTAACTGCGATTCATATGACAAGAGTACTGCTTGCGAGGGCGTGTACGAACAGTGGGCCATTGATAACTGTCAGAAATACTGCAACAAGTGTAGTAAGTTATCATTTATATTTTAAAAGTGAATATATGAGAACTGCAACCTTAAACTTTCTGTAAATAGACAGTATGGTTAGGTATCAAAATCTGAATATAATTATACTGAAAACGTTTTTTTATGAATATTGCCAAATATAATAAATACCATAAAAAGAAATAATTTTTGGTTGAATTTCGGTATAATTGCTAATTTCATCCAAGTAAGCTTATTGGCTTAAGGAATATCAGGTTTTTAATTGTGTAAATTTGTTTGAAAACAATTGTTTTATATTAGTGAGTTTAGTTATGAATGAACAAGTAACTTAAAACTGTTTAGGTGTAACAAAGTACATATGAGAGGTCTACAAATAAGGTAGATCTAAACAGTATTAAAGGGTTTTGTCATTTATACTGCTGTATTGATTTTATACTACATGAAATTGCTTTTGATCTTCATCTTTTTTTCTGAAAAAGGTAAAGGTTTTATTCAGGAATGTATTTAGGAATACTGACTTATACACATGTATAATGAAAACCTTTGACTGAAATTTATCATTTTTTTATAAAATGTGACGCAATTTTCAACCTTTTAACATTCTTGTTGCAGTGTAAATTAGCATGTAGATTTTCTATGTTTCAAAGTTTCCCTTATTGTAGAATTTTAAAATCATATTTTATAAAACTTTCAGATGCACAAGGCAACTATGGAACCACAATGACTGTACAATTACCTAGCAGCAGTAAGTTCATGATTTCTTCTCTATGTATAGATATTAATATCATTTAAAAAAAACAAAAAAAACAACTTTTTGTCCAGAGGTTGACTGTTTTTTGTACTGACAGGTTTGAATAATGATAATGTTTGACGGTTAAACTTTATCCTGCTGGTGGCAATAGGCCGTATTCTTGAAGTCTATGCAGACCAAGATCAGACAGCACATCTGTGCCATCGGGTGATAATGATGCTCTGCATTGTCCGCTATCAACTCCTTATATATTTTTAAATATTCCCTCAAAAAGATAAATTGGTTTTGTCCAGATAGAAACGCATACACGTCTATTTAAGTCCATTTAAGATATGTAGTTGGGAAAGGGTTCATAAGTAAACACAGTACAATATTTGATATCATGCTTATTTACTTATACAGAAATAAACTGTGTTATACATAACACTGTCAACTTATCATTGTATTCAAGTCTTATTGATCATATGGTATAAATGTCTATCTGTCATGCAAGATATAATAGTTTGAGCCATACATTGATATCTCGACATATAACCGCAGGCAGTGCAGGCTACTACTACAGGGAACAAGCTTATCAAATAAAAAAGAATATGTTTGACAATCAAGATAACGTAAGTATATTGAAGTTAATTTATTTTCATTTTTTTTTGTCTAGACTGGATGATAATGATGAAGGGAGTGGCCGGTGTACCAGGTGATCTCTACAACCTGTGGCACGGAACTGGAACCATGAACCCCAACGTACCAGAAGCCATGTACCTAACTAGCACCTACCCCGGACATTACAAACCTGATCTGTCCAATTACTGGAACAGTCTTTGCATTGACAAGGTATATATGTTTTGTATAGGTAATATAGGCAAAGTTAACTTGTTAAAAATGGCCTTTTAGTGTTAGTAATACAAGTAAAGTTAACTGTTTATTAAAGGTATAGGTAATACAGACAATGTGAACTACTTGTTAAAAGAACTGTCATGGGAAATATAAAATAGTAATGTCAAATTGCATAACTATTTATAGACAAATCTGTTAAATTAATATAAACTAATGGTACATGTATACCTTATTGTTTTTGAAAAAAAAAATCTAAACAAATCCGCGCAGTCTGATCAGGATCCATGCTGTTCGCTTTTGGTTTCTCTACTTGTTATAGTGTCTGTAAGCGAACAGCATGGATCTTGATCAGACTGCGCGGATGCGCAGGCTGGTCTGGATCAATGCTGGTCGCAGACACATTATGTTGGTTTTGTCGTGACACGGCTCAAATTGTGTAACACATATAAAAATAACCTTACAAAATTACTTGACAGGTTAAAGTTGCTATCTTCAACAAAGGAGTAGAGAAGGCCAACATTATCTTTGATGCCACTGGATCAGACAAAGAAAGCTGGTTTGATCCAAGTAGGATCATCTCATCAACATGGACTGATATCAGATATGCACCAAAGAACATCTTCAGTTTGATGGGGTAGGTGTTGTTGTTTTTTTTGGTCTCAGCAAAAGTTATAGTTATATGCTCATGGTCAGTGTTTGTTTGCTTGTAAACTCGGGGATAATGGGTTCAACATTTACTATAATTCTAAGGGACACAGCCATGTTTTGTTATTATTATATCTTTACTGACTATGCATCATATAATGTCTCATTTGGTTCTACTTGGGTGCCCATTTGTGCCTGAAATGGTTTTCCTCCACCATAAAGTTGGAAATTAAGCATATGACCTATACTGTGCTGGTGTGACGTATAACCCAAATATAAAAAAATGGCTCTTTTGTTTGTTTTGTAAAAGTACTGAATATATATATACTTTTAAAGTATGTAATACTTAAAAAATGTTGTTAAAAGAACAGGAAACAATCATGAGTGACAGAAAGTCTTTAATTTGCTTTCATCGGTCTTAATTTGCTTTGATCAGTCTTAATTTGCTTACATCGGTCTTAGATAAAAGTATAACATGTATTTTTGATTTTAAAGAAACCAGTTTGATTGTCATAATTTGTGTTTTATTGCAGTGATCAAGCAACAGGACATGAATTCCTGGCCAGCAGCTCAGGCAGTGGATGTAATTCTCAGGGCTGGATCATGGTATCAACAAAGAATAATTGTCCATTTGAACAAGGATCTCAGAAACCTGCTTTCTATTATGCTCCCGGCCAATCTGTTACCAGCTGGGGATCTAGTAAGTTGATTATTATATACAATGAGTGGTTAATTTGCTCCGAGGATACTGAATGTTTTCTTGAATGGAAGTTATCCAGCAAACTTACATAAAACAATTAAATTGATCACTTAGCGAGGCAAAAATAATCTGTAGCTATTGTTCTCAGACTGCGAGGCTAATGGTCATACGTCGCTCACTGCTGATTCAGAAACCTTGTGGGAGATTAGTAGTTAGTCACTTATGGAGTAATTTGTTAATTACTGGTTAGTTATCCAGTAAAGCTTGTTAGGTTAACAAACTGCTGAGATATGACAAAGTCACTGTACAGACCAAACAAAAGAAAAGTTGGTTCAAATTTGTTATGCTTCACAGATTTATATTTTATGCCACAGTATTGAATGACACAAGTAAAAACAAAGGTAGCGTTGAATACAATATTTCATCCTTATATATTACAGCTCAGCCAGGAACGGGTGATGTCTTTGCTATTTTGGCTCATCCTAACTGTAAGTGTAACCTCGGTGCTATATATTTAAATTTAAGTCAGAGCTTTTCAAATAACAAAATTCTGATAAGACTTTTTTAATATCCTCCACAAACATGGCAAATAATTCACATTACATGCTTTGAATGCGGAAATTGACAAGTTGTTTGTAGTTGATAGTCATGTCAATGAAATAAGCTAAACTGTTACAAGAATGAGGCAAATGTTTTACCTGTAGCTTGATTCCTTACGACTGATGTAATTGAAACAGCATATTAATGTTGAATTTGAAAATAATAATGGAATAGTCAATTTGTTAGATGGTAATAAAGATGGTGTTAAGCTGTTTAATTAACACATATTGATATAAAGCATTTTGGATAATTACAAAATGTATAGTAACAAACATTTTCTTAAATTACCTTTATATTTTATAGGTAATGGTACTGGACCAACCATTCCATCCCAGACAATTGTAGCAACATGTAAGTATATATACTCACTATACTCAACATCACTAATTCCGCGTCATCATTTATCTCACGGTAATGGCATATTTTCATGTGACCAGTGTTGTAATTGGTCAGAATTGACATATTTTATTCAAACACCTTAACAACAAAGGTTTTGTGCAAAATAATTTAAATCTATAGAATTTTACGTAAAACTGAACAACATTTTACAAACTTCTGCAAAAAACAACAATAGTCCATTAAAATTGTGCATACGTCTGAAACAATCATCATTTTCTAAATGTTCTTGTTTGTTGAAAAAATAAATTTTGAGTTACAATGTAAAAATACTTTTAATATTTAAAATTATGCAAAATAACTTAAAGAAATTTTAACTGAAACATGAAAAAACTGAAATAAAACACCATTACCGTGAGGTAAATGATGACATAATGTTTTCAAAACGGCCGACACACTGTTTACATCTGACAAATTAAAACTAATTTTGATTGAATATATTGTTGTTTCCTTGTGTCATATAGCAGAAAAATGACTAAATGATACAGTTTATGACAGTTTTTGTAGTGTAAGTTTATTGTTTGTGTTCTTTACTGTTTTAAAGTGTTAAGTACCGTGAACTAAGAGAAGCACAGTATACTTATTCTAATGCTAGAAGTGACATATTATAACATTTCTTTCAGTCCAAAATATATCTCACAATATCGCTATATCTCCATATACATATATGCTAGGCTATATTATTAAATCTTTCCCTCAGAAATTTTTGTCCAGCGCCGTTTCAAAGAGAACATGGATAAGTTATTGCTAATTATTGGTAGATCGCAATATAAAAACTAGTAAGGTACTGGTACATAAATGTGGAGCACACTACCCTCTCATATCATGAATGAAATATTTTTTTAAGATGTATGAAGCTCAAATTTGATACATGAAAATATAAATAATTGTTACATAGTCCCTTTGTAAAGGTGACACAAACATGTTTTGAGTACACACATAGTATATGTACTACGATTTAAACTGTACACACTACAGGTGGACACAGAATGACTACATAGTGTTTTAAAAATCTGGTAGTATTTTTTTAATTGCCATCTTCACTTGATTTGTAATTGGGAATGCAGCTTCCCATACATAGTGTTTAGTTTGAACATATTTTATTGCATTAAATACATGTTTACAAACATATTATACAAATAATGAGTATATATCAAAATGCAAATGGGTTGGGCAACAAGTTCCTAAAACATTAGATTAAGCCCTTCCCAGGGCACTATACATAGTGTTTGCATTCTTTAATGCAACTTAGACATGTTCAATTAGAATGTGATGGATTTTTAGTTTCTGCAATATAAGTATTTTACATAAAGATGAGCCTTGTACTGGATTTTAAGTTTCTGCAACATAAGTATTTTACTTAAAGATGAGCCTTGTACTGGTATATCTTAAAAAGAAACTAACAAATTTGAAGAATAGGAAGTAAAATTATTGGTTCATTATATGTGTTTTTGTATGTTTATAGCAAGTTTCTGTATATACAAGAGCAAGATTTACAACCAGGGAGAGGTCTGGCAAGATGGTTGCCAGTATAATTGTACATGTGAAGATGCTAGAACTGGATTCTACAGATGCCAAGATTTGTAAGAGACTTCTTGAAAATTCATTATTTATAACAATGTAATAAGTTACGATACAATTGAATTTTACACCATATAAGAAATCACGGTATTAATTTGCCAAACCCTCTGGATTTTGTATTAAGATATTTTAAATTAGAGAACTGATACATTTAACATATGTCAGCAGTACACATTCAAGTTTTAATTCAGTCTTGGTTAATAAACTGAAAAGTAATCTAATTGTGACCGATTGTTAAGTTTTCTTTTTATAAAAATAAGTAAGTCAGTTAGTAACGACTTTATTTAACGAGGCTTACACATTCGGTTTCATGATCTTCCATGTGGGTCTCAGCAGAATAATAAAATTGTCTTTTTATAGATCATTCAAACTTACGTAAATTTTCTCATTTGACATATACAATGCACCATTAACAGAAGAAATGTGCGTATAAACTGAATGATGTTTTAATTACAGATGCCCAGTATGGAACAATCTTCCAGCTGGCTGTACATTAGAAAAGAAACCAGGAGAATGTTGCTCTCAGCCTAGCTGTGGAGGTATGACTAATGATAACAATTTGAGTTTGTCTTTGTATTTCATTGTACTTTTGTTTTGATAAATTGTCAGTGTCACATCTACATCATCACCTTTGAAGGAGCTATATTAAACATTCATGGTACCTTCTTTATAATATAAGGTCTTTTAGCAGGATTTAGGTAGATTTCCGTCCGTCCGTATTAAATATTCAACATCATTAGTGAGGTAATAACCTGCTAGTATCAAATATTTCAAAGCAAACACGGCACACTAGAAGTTTCACGAATAATGTTTACACTGCAACATATTTTACCATTTGGTTTTCTATTCTTTAATGAATTTAACAAGCTTAGTGGTCTGTTAATCTCTAACAATTCTAATGATTTTTATTTAATTTTACCTCTTTTAAACAGTTACTGCAAACACTTGTTATTACGGTGGCAAATATTACCATGAAGGAGAGAAGTGGAGGGATGGTTGTAAATATAAATGTACATGCCAAGATGGAAAGACTGGGTTCTACCAATGTCAAACACTGTAAGTAGCGTTTGTAAGGCTTACACTCATGACTGGCTTGTTTAAGGATTTTTATTATTATTTTCAAATAACTACTGAGTATTTTGATTGCTGAATGACAAAATACCTGTGAAAATAAGTGTCTTTCCTGACTAATACATGTACTAATGTAACCTGCTTTTTTGATATAAATTATTATTTTATTATGTTTCGTTTGGAATGTATTAAAATTTGTTACAAAATATCATTTAAGATATCAATTTCTTCGTTTACATCATTTGTATCAACACCTTCTTTTTTTCTGTTGTAGATGTCTTAACTGGACATTACCACCAACCTGCCGCCTAGACCCAGCTCCTGCCGGTAAATGTTGCCAAGTACCCGTTTGTCCAAGCAACGTCCAAATTCAATATCCACCTGGTTTTGTACAAGAATAAAACCATTAATGAATTGTGCCATCTTTTGTTTGTATTTATTTCTGTTATATTAATTCTAAAGTAATAAACATTTGTTTAAAAGTACTCAGTTTTGGTTTTGTGTGCAAATATTTTTTATTTTGTTCATAATTTCTGCTTTTGAGTGTTATCATCAAATCAGCGTCCTGCACAGGTTAACTATGAGATAACGTGGTGACCCCGTGACTTTGACCTCATTCATAGGGATACTGCATTCAATATCTTCATCATGACAAATCATAATTTTATTTTCGAAATTATTTAACTGTTGTCTACAAATAATTGTTCTGACCACTAGAAAAATTTCAGTGCATTCTGTTGATATTGAAAACTTAATAGATATCCAATTAACGACATCCTGGACAACATAAAGGGATATAAAAGATATATAGTTGCGGCAGTAATTTACATTTTCAAAGTTAATATTTTTATTTTATTTTACAAATCGAGACAAAAGAAAAAATTGCTAGAAAATCAACTGATAAATATTCCGATTAAAAATGTTTACGTAATTTTTACGGTGCAAAATAAAAGAATTGAGATACAAATAAATAGTATTGTTTTCAGGCGGACAAGGGTCATATATAGAAGTTCTATAATATGGCTAGGGCATCTTGGCTTTCAACGCCAAATTCAATAGAAACTATAGCTACTAAATTTTGTCGTCTCAATTCCAGAATGTTCTAGCTAACATTTTGACAAAAATTAGAGTTTTTACCAAATCATCGCCGCTTATTGATGGTTCTGCAAAGAAACGGGACAATAGCACTATGTTATATTTATGCCAGAAATAGATAGTTCTGAGCGATAATAAAGTTCAATATAGACACACTCATTAAATAGCCAAAACTCCTCAAGATGCAACAGTTAGCTATAATGTCTTTCAAACACAAAATGTGAATTGTTAATTGAATTGCAATTCATACTGACCCGTTTAGGTTTCTGATAACAGTTATCAATGACTTTATTCCTTTTGTTCAAATTATTAATTTTATGTAATTACATTAACCACAGTTAAGTTACCTATATTTTCTAACAATCCAAACCTACGTAGAAGAACTTTGATGTTTAAGAAATATCCATTTTTTTTCTTAACGAACATCTGCCAAGATTGAAAAAAAATGTGAATGAGACACTTATCGAAATCTCATTTTCTATTAGATGCATCGACCAGAGGAATAATTTAGACGAAAACATAGTCCTCATTGATAGCAATTTGACTTTTAAAACTCAACCTGACCGGAGCTTGCACAGTAAAAGATTTGATATCAGTGTCATTTTTTTTACTGTTAATGAGGTACAGGAGAAGCCTATAAGCCATTTTGGCTTCAATGCTCAGATGAAGAAGAAGAAGAACGTAAAATAAAATGATGTTGACTCTAAGACAAGAACAAATGAAGAAAAGCTGATGAGAATTGCTAATATGTTGAACATCATTAAGTTGTGTTTTATTTTTACCAAAGTTACAAGACTACCAAACATGGCAAAATATTTAACCTGAATAATGTAATATATTCATGCATTCATCTTAGTGCAGGGCGTTTTGTCAGATAATAATAAGTGTAGTAAAAGTTACAAACTCGTACACAAATGTAACATAAAAACCTCTTCAAGAATATGTACAAAAATTAGTAATTTGATAACACAACTCATCTCTTGCTAAGTCATTCAAATTAACCGAGAGTTAAATTAAAATAATTTCATTATCTTTTAACTGAAAGAGTCTTCTGCCTATAGGTAAGAACAGTTACTGCAAAATACCTTATGAAAAATGAAAAAAAAAATATGTTTGAACATTTCCTTAAAAGCGAATGACGCTTTAAACATCAGCCCGTACAATATTATACTCACGGAATCGACCATAAGATTACGGAAACAACTTAAGTTTAACGTTTGTTAGTATGCTTTCTAAATGTATCTATTAAATCTGGAAGAAATCGGAAAAGTAGTTTCAGAGCTATAGTGGTAAGAGTAAGATTCTGATAATAAACTTTTGTCAGAGAACATTCATGGACAAAAAAACATCGACTGAGTTACTAAAGGCCCTGTCACACTAGACTGCGCTTTCACTGCGCTTTCACTGCGTTTGCACGGCGTTGTTAAACAAAGCGCCGCGAGATCGCAAAACAAACACAAAAATCTGATATTTTTTATGACATGGAGTCTCCATGGCTTTCTTACAGCGATCATGGCGTTGCTGCGGAGCTTCCAAGGCGATGAAATGTGTTCAGTGGCAATTGACTGCGTTCGGACTTCGCTTACACTGCGCCGTCACGTCTCCGAATAAGCAATCAATTCGACATTCCTTTTGCGCTTTCACTGCGCTCCTGTTGCGCTGAAGGAGATGTTACTGAGTTGCTACAGAGTCCTTACTGCGATCCCACTGCGCTCTTATCAGAACGCCGCATAACAGCGTTTGTTTTGTATGTTTTGAGCATGCTCAAAATGCGCGCCGTCGGTCGGCGATCTATGCAATGCGACAGCGATGCTGAGGCGATGTTTGCGATCGTACTGCGCTCACCTCGGCTATATGAATGTGCTTTGGATGCCGTGAGATTGCCGCCCTAGTGTGACAGGGGTTTTACATAGTAAACCTTAATATTTAACGCATGATATAGTTAAAGACGTTTTCGGTAGTTTTCTGTGCGCATCGTTATGCGCTTCCAAGAAAGATAATCACGGATAATTACTCTTCAAATGAAGGTTAAGTTGAATAGTATTCGGATAAGTGTTTAAATTTCGGCTATAAGCAAATAATGAGTAAATAATACAGAATAGATATTTCTAAATGTTCAAAAGGAGATCGGTTCAAAAGAATAAGAGGTCGTTTAGACAACATCACATAAAGGATTTCTCCAAGCATTAGTAAGACAGCATTGATGATAATTCTGCGCGAGTTACCCCACCCACTTGTGGTATAGTGACGAAAGTGCGTCGCGACTTGATTACTGGCAGACAACTGGGCAAAGAAGTTTAAAATGATATATTTTAAAAGTGTTGATTAAAAAAAACAAAATTAACATCTAAGAAATGTTCCGAATTTCATTATTTTCTTTGCAAATTTCTGAATACTTGCTTACTGTTCGGGTATGTTAGTCGAGTGAAAAAAATAATATGGCCCTAGATATGTTTTAAAAAGATATTCAGTATCATTTACTTAATATTACATCAAAAGAAAAAGAAATTTTTCTTACAACATGTTTTTGTTGTATATTTGACAATACATTTAGTATAACACTGATATTTCTTAAGAAAGCGTGGTAATTTTGACAGTTGGCATATGCGGTAACCATGGAAACTGCCCGTTTACAAAAAACTAACACGTCAACATATATATTTTATTTCTATTTTTGAATCCACCATCAAATGTTACTTAATATATCAATAATGTAGAAAATTATATGAAAGAAATTTCTTGGTAGCTTTAATTTTTTACAGAATTCATGTTTATTTTTCTCATTTTTTGTTTAGTTAAAAAGCATGAAAACTCATTTTTTAAAGAAATATGTTTCAATTATCGTTTGTTTTATACAGAACCCTAAGATAAAGCAAGCTTTGTATAAAATTATGTTTATTGTGAGTGTAATAAGCTATTTTATACATTATTATAACACAGTTTGGCTATTTTGACAATTTTGAGATATACGGTTACCATGGAAACTGCCATTTTTCAAAAAATCCAACACGCCAACATATATTTTTCTTTTTCTTTTTGAATTTGTCATTAAATTTTACACAACATACAAAAAAATTAGAAAATCCTATGAAACACTTTTTTCAATATCTCTTATTATTCTCAGAATTCATGTTTATTTTTCTCATTTTTTGTTCGGTTGAGGAACATGGAAAACTCATTTTTTAAAGAAATATGTTCAGATTATCATTTGTTTCATACAGAATCATTAGATAAGGTTATCTTTGCATAAAACAATGCTCGTTGTGTGTTTTAAGCTATCTTATACATTTTCTATTCGTTATAACACAGTTAGGCTATTTTGACAGTTTTTAGATATACGGTTACCATGGAAACTGCCATTTTACAAGAAATCCAACACGTCAACATATATTTTTCTTTTTATTTTTAAATTCGTCATTAAATTTTACTCATCATACAAAAAAATTAGAAAATTCTATGAAAGGATTAATTTTTCATAAAACTGTAGAAAATGTCTTTAAACGATAGTAGTTAATGCTCTTACATTTGTGTCAGGTTACAAATTCATAGGAATGTCCTGCTCTGTACTCATAGCCCATAAAATGAAGAAAAAAAAAACAACATATATAGCTCAACAATGAGTTATAAACCCATTCTATTAGTAAGCAATGCAATACTTATACGAATGTGAAAGATGATTTCTTAAAATAGACTGAAAAGAATGTAGCAGTAATAAAACATAAATTTGTGGTATTTTTAAAAAATAAATTTCAAATTAAACACGTTAATGAATATCTCAAAGAAAAAATTACAAATTTTATAATGTAGTTTATCAAATGGGGAAAAGAATTGTAAAAAAGGTTGGTCAATCTAAAATAATAAATAAGTCTTTGTCATCGCAACCCCATATGAGACATATTCTTTAGAATATGGACTATACTTGACCATATGAGCTAACCTCAATAGCCTTCGAACTGAAGATAAGACTATTCTAAAAATACATTTTACCCACTAACCACTGAGAAAAATGATATAATGAGTCAAGCCCCGCTTTGACTAAATTTAGCTACTCTCGACGAAAAGGCATAACATGATATCATTTGCTGAATTTTCACCGGTTTGGGTTATTCTCATTTATATACAAATAGAAAAAGGAACCGCATTTTTCTGGCTAAAATTTTATGCAAATTCGTTTGTAAAAACTGGGAAGAATGTTCTTCCATGCATAAATATGCCAGGTACCAGTCAAGCTCATCCGAAGGACAGCAATACCTTATTTTCATCCATGATGCAAACAATGGTGTCAATGGCCTCCCCCGTATCAGAATAGTTAACATCACAAAAAAGACTTGCAGCTGTAAAAAGTTGCCCCGTGCTTCACAGTGTTGTTATATTTTGCTGGTCTTTCGGG